TTATTCTCTGGAGCTTCTTCATTCGTCAGACTTTGTCGAACTTCACAAGCTAACTGGTAAATTTGATTTCTTGAATCCAGTTTTACATCATTGGAGTCATCAATTGTCGGCAAAGTCTCATTTCCTGAAGCCTTTTCATCCTTCGGACATTGAACTTCTCTTGCTAGCTGGTAAATTTGAATTGATTCCAACATTACATCATCTGAGGCAGTATTTGCCAGCAAAGGTTCATTTCCTTGGGCCTCTTCACCCTTCATACTTTGTTGAACTTCCTTGGCCAGCTGGTAAATGGGATTCAATGGTTCAAGCTGTACATCATGAGAGGCAGGGACTGTCAGCAAATTGTTCTTTTCTGGAGCTGCTACTTTTTTCCTCAGACTTTGTTGAACTTCTTTGGCTAGCTGGTAAATTGGATTTGATGGATTTATTTCTACTTGATCGGTGGCAGGTAATGTCAGCAAAGCGTTCTTTTCTGGAGCTGCTTCAGCCTTCAGACTTTGTTGAACTTCTTTGGCCAGCTTGTAAATGGGATTTGTCGGATCTAGTTGTACATCGTGATGTGAGGCAGGAAGGGTCAGCAAAGTGCCATTTTCTGGAGCTTTGTCTTCCTTTAGACTTTGTCGGACTTCCCTGGCTAGTTGGTGAATGTGATTATTTGATTCCTGTCGTTCGTCAAATAATGGAATTCCTTGGACGTGATCTGTAGGACGGTTAATGTTTTGGTAGATCTCCTCTGGAACTGTCATCAGAACTGTTTCTGCAACCTCCTCTCCTTGATCACGTAGGCCTAGATAACTTTTACCAGATGCTACCAACTTCTTACTTCTTGGCGACACTGTGGAAGACACTTTATGTGCAGGCTTCGGTTGGAAGACTTCTCCCTTTTCCGGGTTAAGAAGGGAAGGAGGTGGGAACGGAATCGGTGTAGATTTGTCCAAAGAATCTTGTGCTATTTCTGTAAGGTAGTCTAGAAGTTGTTCTTTTAGAGGACCAAATGGTAGGACAAATCCCTCTTGTGGTTGACCTTTCTGTGGTAGCAGTGGCCATAAGGGTGAGACATAACAAACTGGAATTCGCTCGTCTTGACGGGTCACATTTGAAGAATCTATCAAGGAACATTTGGACAAAAGTTCGGTCTCGGCAATGACAGGGAATACTTCGTCAATACGATCAGCTTTCAACTCATGATTGATGGCGGAGATAGGTCGAGCGACCACGGTGCCAAGTCCAAACCTTCTTGCCACCTCGACGATGTCTCCCTTCATCAGTTCTTTTTCCACGACCTTCATCTCGGCGACGAACCAATCCTGGTAGCTCAAACACTTTTCCCTGGGTCGTGGCTCATTCTCCACTTCGACGACATCGTGTAACGTGATCTGATTCGTTCTTGAAGCGTTTGTCTCTAGGGACAGGGCGCCACATGGCAAACATATATCCATCAAGGTGAGTGCCTTGGCAGGGGATGTATCCGGTCGAATGAATTGTGTTATAAACAAACAGGTCTCCATCTTTAATGATTATAGAATGGAAACAAAGGGGGGGGGATATATAGATATTAGGGTCAAAACTTTATATTTTGGCGCATCGGTCATTATTTACGCATTATGTATAATTATGACCATACTTTCTTGATATGATTATTGTTAATTACAGTCTACGTAATACATATCAAAACATATAACTTATGTATATAAAAAGTCTCATGAGTTCTTTTTATGCTCGAGAAACTGATAGTTTTCAGATGTAATGCTAGATTCAGACAACAAATTAAAGGACAAGCAATGAATATAGTATAGTACTTTTTTTTATATACATTTTCCCCTCATTTTTAAAAATCAATTTGAGGATCGCCATGACTTAGGAAAACAATATACAAAACATTTTCTAAGTTATCACAGCAAGGTGTATTCTTTTTCTTTAAATGCAATATGTTGGTTAATTGTAAAGACTAAAGACAAAAGCCTCCGAAAAGGAAAGTTTGCAACTTCAATCTTAAAAAGAAAGTGATTTAATTTCATGAGAAAATCTCAGATGTCGATTTTCACCAGGCCAGTGCTAATTGAAATACATTCATTATGTCAAAACAAACATACACAAATTGGACTTACGTTATCATTCTTTGCCGTCAGCATGCCCACATACCTGAAGAAAATGAAATACACAACTTTTATTTATATACAACTCTAAAGGTTTCAGACTAATGTTGAAATATAGACCGACGCCAAAGTTATTTCAATCTTATTAATATAAATGTAGGCATAAGAATCAAGGTGATATACACAATGAGTGATTTGCCCGGTGATTTCAAGTTCGGTGTCTTACGAAAGCAACACCAGCCACAACACCAAACACCGAACTTGAAATCACTTAATGTGTGTCTAGATATCATAAGTATAATTTACAATGATGAGAAGATAAATAGGATACAGGCATATTTCTGCAGGGGTCGGTAAGGGCTGAGGTTTCCGTGCCCGAAAATTAACAGTTTCTAAATTTTGTGAGAGAGGCGAGTTAAAAAAAAAAAAAAAAAAAAAAAAAAAAAAAATCGTCATTATAAATATACTAGATTAGGTATACAAATCATATTAAGGCACCTTATACTGCCCGACCGTCTTACCTCATACGCCTATGATGAATTTTGAAGAAATAATTCCTTTTCGATGAAAAATACGAAACAGAAACTAGAATAAGAACTTAATGCGTAAAAACACTTGATTCGGAATGTTCATAAAGAAAAGTGACTAATTACACAGAGCCATCATATACACACCTGCCATCTTTGAAGATGAGTGAGCCGGTAACAGATAGATATTCTACAGCGCTGGCTATATTTGCTAGCTGCTCTGATTTGAGTTCCTGGTCCTGCCTCATTCTTGCTACAACAAGAAACAAAACCGATGTGTATAAATGGTGTCGACCAGTCTAGTGACTCTAGTCATTGTTTTTTTTAATTGAAATATTTACATATTAATTAGATCTCAAGTTCTAAAGTGATAATAATGATAATGATGATTATAATGATGAAAATAAATAATAATAATTACCATGATAATATCACTAAAGTTAAAGTTGTAAAGCGCAAACTAATCACAATTTGATTTTCTATGAACTTGAAATTGGTTAACATTGAACAACATACATATTTTAACCGTTTCACAAATCGCTGTACAGCTACGTTTGACTTTGAAGTCTATTTAATTTTTGTTTTCCTATTTAATACAAAGAAAGGATGATTTTACCCAATGTCTAACTTAATTCGCACGTTCTACAAGAGGCCTGAAATCACTTCCAAAATTGGGACATTTTCAGATAATGCAATTTACAAGAAATATTAGCTGTATGTAAACGGAATGTAATGGCCAAGAATCAAATCTATCCTTTAATTTCAACCCCCTCCTTCACTTCACAAGTTATAGATTAATTTGATATAGCAAAAATACATTAAATGTTTACCTGTTGGCGACATTAACATCCCCCGAAAGCTTAGCAAGCCAGCGTTCAATAATTTCGTCAAAATATTACCCATTTTTAAGGTAAAATACTTGTAGGTTAAGAAGATAACCTATACGTTTCAAAATTCTCCGAGTCTGATTTATGTTGGCTTGGCCTGGTTGCCACATACAACGTAAACACAGAGTAATGCGCATTCCTGATTGTTACGTCATGTCTCGCTGGAATATTCACAGCTGATTGGTTGAATGTTTACATGCGCGTGCACCCAATACGCATGACGACATAATGCATGATCGAGGATCACATCTATATCGGCACAAGAAAATCATAAACGTTAGAAAGATATTTTAAGTGAAACGCCAAACGCACATCTCTCCACTTTCAAAAAGCTTAAATTCTTACCGGCCTTCATTGGATTGGTATCTTATTGTTTGACTGATTAATTCTTACACAAATATATTCTTATTTTGCCTGTCAGTAAATTCAATTCGAATTTAGTCGTTCACTGAAAGCCGGGCCAAAGTACCAGTTCCTAAACTAAGGGCTGAGGAAGCTGCGTCGTAGAATTCTGGAATTTGGAAGTGAAAGGAAAACACAAAGTCTAGCGTCATAACAGTTCAATTTTAAGATGGAATTTGGAAAAAATATTTCGAGCTAAAAGTGATGGGAAAAAGGAGCAGAGGGGTAAATTTGAAGGGAAGAAAATGTTTAATATTCAAAGAGGTCGAAAAATTAGAAAAAGATGGCGATTTAATAATTAACATTTATTTCCATCAAATATATTATACAAAGGTAGAATATGAAATATCATAACAGATAACAGTATCAATATTACATATTAAGTGACATAACAACATTAAAAAATATAAAGTAAATATAAACCATTTTTCAAATGGAAAATTGGGCATCCGTAAAAGCTCAGGTTTGACAATGCACAAGTAGCACAATAATGATAACATAATAATATGCTTAGAAAAAAGGGGGGAAATGGGGGAGGGGCGGGTGGGGTAGTTATTTTGGTATGAGAGATGTGGTTTTAAAATAAATTGTGCATTATAATGGGAGAGAAGATGTTTCTTGTTAATTCTTTTGAATGAGTTGTTAAATCGAACAGACTGTAAGAAAGCAAGTAGAAAATTTTACATTTTAACACCAATATAACGGAAAGAATTGTCTTTCATTCAGTTTGAAAACCGGCTGAATAGGCTGAAATTGGCAAAACAATGAATTTAAGTACGATTAAAATTAAAGCAGCTCCTCCAGACTGCGCCTATACCGCCAGAATACTACAAATAACAGTTATCGAAGTTGTAATTGCTGTTACAAACTATTGAAATCGTTGCATTTGATTGGCTGAGAGCAAATGTGACATTTTTTTTAACGAGGGCATGGGCAAAGAGGCATCTCAACCTGCGTCCTGAAGTCAATCTTTAGTTACCTTGAATAAGTACGAATAAATAAATGATTTTGTTTGAGCGTTCAGCTTCATGAGTCAGTCATAATACTTTTGACGCGTTTTAATCGAGGGGAAAATCCCCTGTCGAGTCTTTTGTCGTTAGAGGGCCAATTTATTGACAGCAGCAGAAAGCAGAAATGGCGACTACCAGGATTGCATTGTTGAACGCCAAAAGAAGGTAAGAAAACTTGCCTCATTTTCAAGATATTTGTGCTTATTGTATGAATGTAATTACTCAGTAATGTCTGCATGAACTGATTTGTGACATGTAAAGATATTTTCATGCGTAGCGGTTCATCTAAAACGTAAAATTTCACACAGTAACGGAAGACCGACCGGAAATTGCACACAAAAAGAACTCCATTCTAATTCACTCTTCTGTATGTTCAGTGAGTGAAATGGATGCAGAATGGAATAAAAGCTACGCCATGACGTGACTTTGTTTAGTTGAGCTTTACATGGGCTCTTTACATCCTGAATAAGGTAGTCAAGATGTAGGAATCTTATGAAAATGCTATGCATCCCTGTTTCTATGAGTATGAGTATGAGCTTCATGAATTTACAACCAAGTTTTTGGTTCAGTAATGTTGGTGGGCAATTTTAGAGTAGCAAGTGAGCGTCTTTTTTCTTCAAACTCCATTCTTCAGTTCTTGCGTTAACGTGTTAGCATGGCTAATTGTATGCACCGATTGAGTGGTGGCATGTTTTTAAATTGGTACAAAAAGAAGCAAGTAAGACAGACACTGAAACAGTAGGGTATGACTTAGACAGCAATAACCATCTGATTTGGGTCATTTCTTTAAAAAAACTGACATTTGTTGTCATTCCCCAATACAGATGGCAACCCAGAGATCTCGTACCGTGGGGGTAAATTAGAGCCACAGCGTAACAGCTTTTCGTTACCGACATTTCTCCCCCGATTTTCTTTATTTAGATCTAATTTCCTGATTTCTAAATCAGATGTAAATTAGGTCGATATGTCATTTGTCCTAATTACAGTTATCAAAATTTGATAACTCAATATTAAATGTATAATTTACGGACTTACTTATATGAATTATCCAATTTGTATTTTAGTCCTGTGAAACAGTACGTTCATGCACTCGAAAATAGAGCTATATGACCCGGCGGCCGGTATATTTCCGGGTCAACCTACGCCAATGGCCAATCAGAGCACTCGTTTCGTGGGAGTTCGTTGGTCAAGCTGGGCCGACTCGTACATAGCTACGGTAGCTATTGGACGTTCGAAAAGAAAAAATGAATATTCATCAACTAAAACCAAGACGATAATGTTGACGACGAGACTTTCTCGGATTAATCATTAATTTAGGATCTAAATGAGCAAGCTATCGTAAGTCAAATAAGCTATATATATGTTATTTTTAATTTGTATTATAATTGCAGCAGTTATGAGGATGTAAAGAGTGAAAATCTCGTTGCATATCTCATTCATCGCGGTCCGGTCGAACCAAACCATTTGTTCTGTACAGTCCCTCACAGTAAGAGGTCCCCAGACTTCAGTCTCTATAATCGGAGGTCTAGTGGAGCCAGACGTAGTCTCAGTGGAACAACCGACGATTAGAGAGACTGAAGTTTTCGGTCTAGGTATGACTGTGAGTGTGAGAGAGAGAGAGAGCTAGAGAAAAGGGATGAATGAAATGCTACATTTTTAAATGTGAGGGCTCGTCCAAACTTTGCGCGAGACTCGAGACTGCACTGCTCATCCCATGTACAGGGTTATATACTCAGATGTTGTGTGTCTGGACAGTTGATATAATACCTCAATTTGAAGAAGTTTACCATCAATATTTCATAAATCTTTTAAGACTTGTGTTAAACAATATTATAAAGGACAAATATTCACGATGGTAGATCTAAGTGCTATTTGATGAATATTTTCTGTTAAATCCAAAGGTAATACAGAAGTTTTTATGTTATGTTATGTGTCCACCCCCCCCCCCCCCCCCCCCCCCCCCCCCCCATCGAACTTATAACTACCTTGTGTGAGACCAAATCTTGTAGATGGACACTTGGTCAGTTACTGTATCTAAAAAGAAATAGATGATGGTCAAAATCAAGTACTTCCATTGAAATGAAGAAACTTTTGAGCAACTTTTGAGCTTTGTCACAAACCCATGACAATCACAATGTGGCCAATTTGTCTAGTGATTTTCATAGTATTTCATTATTTTTCATGTCTTTTAAAATTTCATAACTTTGTTGTCCAATTTTCATCAACTTTTTTTATTGGTTTATCTGAGTTTTCTGCTTGTATTCAAGGCAAGTTATTCTTGGTTTGGACTTCCCCTTTAAACCTAAATTCTTTGGCATTTGTAGAGGCACAGTCCCGGCCCCCCCCCCCCCCCACTCAGTGTTATTTAGGGTACGCATATGCATGTTCCCTCCTTTTGAAAACACCCCCTAAGTCCGGTGTGTAAAGTCAATTTTGTGTATGTACGAGCTGGACTTTGGTGCATGAAAAGTACCCCTTTACCGGACATTTTGGTAACACGCATGCGGTCATTCCGACCCCGGAGTGGGGGGGGGGGGGGGCCGGGGGCACAGTCCAGAGAGGAACTGCAAATGACCTGTTTACAATTTTATACCTTTAACAAAAACAAATGTTTCTCTTGATGACTACAAAGCTTGACACTCGCTAGCCAGTCATAAACACAACTAATCTATGTTGAGTGGATTCCATTCCATACTGTAGAGATCTTATTTTGCACAGCAGGCCAGGTGAAGAGGTCCTGGAGAGAAACATACATACCGATATATTGAAATGCCTTAGTAAACAGGTCTATTGATTTGACATTGTAATGACTTGAGTGAGAGGTTGAGTGTACATGAATGAAAGGATGTGCAAGTGTTATAGGGTGTGAGGGGTTTCTCTGTATGTCTATACCTCACCATAGGGAGAAACATGTGATTTATCAGAGAAGGAACACATGTTTCCTTTTGGGGCCTGTTTCTCAAAACTGTCATAAGTCATGGCCAGCAAGGTCATGTGCTGGCTGGCAGGATATTTCAAGCTAGATTTGTCTAGTTAAATTGTAAGTGACATGATGCAGCATTATTGTCTTGTAGTTGTACACATTTATGACTTTATGTAACATTAAAAGTGATATTAGATGAAACCTCCGATAAGGTAGGCAAATTATTTAATATTAAAGAAATTATTGTAGATTTGCATTTATCTCAGAGTGAAGCTTAAAGACTGTAAGTCATGAAATATACTGACAGGAATACAAGAAATTCCACTAACTGTTTTATAAGAAATTTCTCCTGTTAAATAGATAATTACACTTACATGTGATTACACCCCCAAGTTAATAATAAGGACAATTCGAGTGAACAAGAAACCTCATTCTCGTTAACCATGTGTAAGTCAAAGCGTTAACTGTTCAAGTTGGTTCACTTTTGCAGACTCTTTTGATTCCGTTGACAAGTCGGTCAAGATGTCAAACGACACATCTTTCTTTTATATATTTTCTCATGTTACTCTTTGTTTATCCGTGAATCATCTTCCCTTCTATCCCTTACGTTATTCTTTGTTTGCATACTTGTATCATCTTCTCTTACATGTATATTTTCTTTGTTATAATCCTTCTTTCATTTCTTCTATTTTCTTACATTATCTTTTGTTTCTATCCTTTAATTTCTTTCTATCTTTTCTCATGTTTGTTTTTATTCTTCTTTCATCTTCTCTTCAACTGCAAGAGGAATGTACATGTTTATTTGGCATAATTAGTTATTATTGAATGTTTGTCACATTTTAACAAGTATTTCTTTACAAGTAAGAAGTAAGTACAAGTAAGATTGTATTTTGCCTGTACTCCTGAAAGAATGATGCTGTACAGTATAAGTATAAAATGGTGGTTAAAACAAGGAATACTGTATTGTTTTTTTTTTTTTTTAATGATGAAAAACTCTGAATTATGCCCTTTTTGACAAAAATCTTTTATCCATTTATTTCATCTGAAAATTTCTTGATATGACCATCAGTAATTGGTACCAGGAAGAACCATTCAGGTCTTTGATGTTTATGTACATTAACCCTATTGGTGGGGTATTCTAAAGTTAGGCCCAAACAATGAAACAAGCAAGTGAATAGAAGAGATATAGGCCAGTATTCAATTCTCGCTACCCTAAATAGGTACGAAAATCTCGAAATTCGCGAGACGAGGTAATTTTCACTCTCTCGGGTCGTCACTACAACTTCCGGTATAGAGTCCCATCCCGCTGGCGCTAGCGCCTGTGTTCGCTGTGCAGAGTTTTCACGCACGCTAAAATCGATGCCAATCAGTGCAGCCTCACAAAAGAAAACCATCGTCACTGATGTCAAAAGACGCAAAAAACAACGAATGAAATGTTCAAATAAACGTTGAAATATTTGCGAAAAAAAAACAAGACCGAGCAGACGACATATTCGGTGCATACACGTTGTGTGGCGACGGCGTTTTACGTTTGCGCTATCGCGCCTAGTAATATAGCGCCTGCACAGGAAGCTGTAATGTCGAAAAGCTATCCCATAATGCAATGCGCGTTTTCAGGATTTTCCCCGGATCTCGGCAGAATCGCTATTTGGGGTAGCGAGAATTCAATACTGGGCAATTCCACGGTAACGGAAGGACACTCAGACAAGATTTTTTAACTTCAGGTTCATACTAAAAGAACTGTTTTATTAGTATAAGATGTGAAACAGTACAGATATAATACCTATATAAGTGCCTTTAATTCTCCCCCAAAAAATTGTCATTATAGTTAAGTAGTTTAAGAATGTGCATATTAATTATCTCGGTAACGGAAGGACATAAAAATGGACATGGTTTTTCCAGTTAATTAGTGTTTATCTAAACTTTGTGAAGTTGATGAAGCTTTCCACTTGACTGAAACACATTTTTTTCCCCATAGTTTAATACATACTAATAAAACATTTCTTTTAGTATGAACCTGAAGTTCAAAAATCTTGTCTGAGTGTCCTTCCGTTACCGTGGAATTGCCCTACTGTAAACAGTGTTATTTTTTCCTGATTATTTTTTTCGCGCTGAGCGATAAAATTCTTAAATTCATGTTTCATGCAATTCAGCCTGTTCAAAAAAAGCATAAGAAGTCATACTTATATTTTTGAGAGTTCTAAAATTATACCACAAATATTTCTACTTCTACAGTACCTGTACCTATGTCAGAAAAATGATTATTTCACTCAGTTTTTGGCTGAGGTAAAAATACTCAGCCATCTTCAGTATTCAGTTGGAAGCTTTTGGCTAAGTATTTTATCTAAATTAAAAAAAGCTCCCTAGCTGACCTTAGCCACCTACTTTTTAGGCTTTTACTTGCAGGCATGTAGTTTTGATACGCAGTCTTTATAAGCTGTGCACAATAATATCACCATGCATAGTGCACCCAATATTGGATTGGCTAAGTGACATCACAATGGCCATCATTATTAAAGGAAAATCCAACTCAAATAGATTGAAAAATTAGAGAAGCATACTGATGAAAGTTTCAATTAAATCTGACTAAATATAAAAGTTATGATTATTTGAAAGTTGTAATGACTATACTTATGGGCAATTCAAATTGGCTGAAGCGCTATGTCAATGCGCTGTAGTGCCGGACTACAATTAATAATATTTTTGTACACGTCCTACGTCACAATCCACTGACCAAACTACAGATTTGAGATTTGCATAGACTTACATGTAGTGTTCTCTTATTTCCAACATTCGTAACTTCCTTACTTTTGGTCCGATTTGTTAAAAACTATTACCCTTCAGTTTCTGTTATTTTTCTGCTTTTATTCAAGGGTTGGATTGCCCTTTAAAGTATTTTGCCTTAAATTTTGCGTACTGTGATCTGAATAAGACGAGCCATTAGCTAATTAGTGTTAATGTAATTTTTTTGATATTTTACTTTTTTGTCCTTTGTTTATTCATCAGTCAAAACAAGGAAAATGTCAGATGTCAGAAATGTCTAGAGATGGGTCATTGGACCTATGAATGCTCTGGAAAGAGAAAGTACGTCCATCGGCCATCGAGGATATCAACACTCAACAAGAAACTGAAGCAGAAGCAGAAAGAGGAGGAGGAAGGAGCAAAAAGGTCAGTGTATTGAGAAGATGAAAGTCAGGGGGTTAGTGTCCTCGGTATATAGTTCAGGCGATGAGCCATGCTTGATTAATGCAAAGTCATTGAATATGCGTACCGGTACTCCACGTAAGATGATGTCATCAAGTCGATAGCAAGTTTTTAGGTCAACATCTTCCGATTTTCAAAGCTTTAGATTTTGTGTTCTATGGCTTATAAGCTATCCATTAATATATCATTCATCCATTTCATTTTTCAGTTCGGATAAGGTCTTTCAAGCCTTTGAAAAATTAAGAATGCTTTATCTCAGTTCTGATTGAATAGACCTTTTCACTAATTTAACCACTTTTTGATTGAAAAAAAAATCTTGACGACCCAAAAGCTTGCCAGAGGCTAGTCTTTGGACAAGCCTCTGGCAAGAAACAACTATAATACAATTTATGCAAACAGCTAGTACCGATAACTATGTGTTCTAGAGAGAAATTAGCATAAATGTAAATACATTAGTAGACGGGTCTATTTCTGGATTAGCCATTTTTCTTTCTTTAATACCCCCCTCATTAATATTTGATTTCAGGCTAGAGAACCCCAAGAGTGACAGCAGCTCTGGTGATGAGAGTGACGAGACATCCTCCGGAACTATCGATTCCGATTCTTCCTCCACCCTCAGTAGCTCCGATGACGAATCAAGCGATGAGGATTCCAACCTCAGCTCTAAAGGGGACTCCGATTCGGGCTCGTCCGGAACAAGCGACTCGGACTCGGACAGTAGCGAAGATAGCGTGCCTCGGAAAAAGCGCAAACGGTGAACAATCCAGCGTCTCTCTTTCGTCAAACTGCGGCTGAATTGCCAAATTGATGTGTTATTTATTTATTACTGCGAGATAAATAGATTTGAATGGAATTGGCCGAGAAACTTCAGCACAGGGCTGCATTTGTGCCGCTGAGGGCACCAACACTAATTGAGTACTCCACTGAGCCAACGATACAGTGGCTTTGGTGCAATATATGAGAAATGCAAGCAATTTCAAGTTTTGTATGACAGGGATTCTCTCTCATGTACCCGTCTTGTATTTTGATATGGAATAATCTCATTGTTGTATTAAAATTTGAATATCCAATTGAATCTCAATTACAGGAAGTGATAGCAGTTGGAAGTAGACATGCATGTCTGTCATTTCTAGATGAGAAAGTACAATAAGGTTAAATGTGGAACATATTTTTTTTTCTATCTGTACCTGGTAGCAATTTCTTTGATTTCATTTAAGGTTAAGTAGTGCTGTTACCAAAAGAGTACTCCCTATTTCTGAACTGTTTTGTAAAGCTGTTAGTTATATTTGCATATCTGCCAATTGCAAAGAGGGGGGGAGGGGGGATATGGTTAATGTTGACCATACATGCAAGTTAGTATATGTTTGAAAATATGATTATCGTAGTGTACTAATAGAGATTGGTTGTGCTGGTTCTAATGGGTTATGCAATGATGAGTAAGTAAGGTTGTGTACAAAGTAATTTAAGGTTACTAAATACTTGTCTAAGTCAAAAGGTCATTCAAGATTATATGTCATTTTGTCAGTAATATATGGGCAAAAGCTGAACCATTTTGGCAATCAAAGACTATATGTTTATATGTAAAATGGTATAATTGCAGGGTTGGGTCCGTCCAAAAAGTTAGGGCAATTTTTTTCACATACCAGAAGTGAGAATCTATGTCTGCTATCAACTGTAACCATGTTTGCTTAAATTGAGGTTTGCATAAAGAGCATAGCCAACTATCTTCAGAAGTATGAAAGTTTACGTAGTGTTATATGATGTCCATGTAACGCTGGTAAAAAGAGAAATGTGTATTAAGCAAAGAAACTGAAACAGGAACAATTCTGACAGGGCACTACTATATAAAGGCTATAAAGGTATATATTCATTGCATAAAAATCTTCCAACAGATACTTTCATCTTCCATGTGTAGTTGAAGATCTCATACCTACGTTACATGGACACCCGTCATATTTTTTGCCCCTACATGTACTTTATAGAATGACCCGGTTACGAGGGTCATACAAATCTGCCAAACTGTCATCTCACGGTCGATTCCTAGCGTTATTGAATGACATAATAATATCAATACAAAATATTATGTACTTTAACAACATTGATGTCGAGTACCCCCCAAATGCATACATGCCAACTGTTCAGATTAAAGAGGAACATTCCTCTTTTTGGGAGAAGATAATTATCATTTTAATGCAGGTGTTCCTCTTCCTGTACAAATTTTTTTTTTTTATTGAATAGGAGAGTTAGGATTGTTCCTCTTTTTTTTGAAAATAGCATAATTTGTACAGATTTCTGATTTTCAAATGTTGGCATGTATGCAAATGCTATATGATTAATTTTTAGATTTTTGTAACTAATGAATTGGCCTTATGGCCTTCCATGGGCAGTAAATCCAACCCAAAACTTTGCTGGGGTAATAATAATAATTGCAGGTTCCTCGGGAAGAACAGGATAGTTACTTATGAGACGTCCCTGGGTGTAAACAAAATATATTTAATGACCTATTTGAAAGTTGTCTGTACCTTTAGCTTCATAAAGTATTTACAGCATTTTTGAGCATTATGCATTTCCCTTTCCATGTTGAAATCTAAGGAAGAGAGTGGTATGTTGAGGTAACGTGTACATGTATAATGTATTTGCAATCATGGACCATTTCAACTTTATGCTGCCCCAAGTGAAGTGTTTTGTCAGGATATCACCAACATTTACCCAAGACATTGTACAGTCATTTGCAAAATTTTAAAACCTCTGAAACTTTAAGTAATAATATTCATTGCTGAAATTGGCAAGAGATGGTGCTAACATGCAGGGAGGTAAGCAATTTTATTGAACTATATGTTTTCTGGTCGGGTCTACTTAAAATTTTTGATATAGCATTGTGCACAGAAGTCTTGATGATGATCCTTTTGCTTACTGGACATGTAGATTTTCAGTGTAGCTCTCTCCAGAACATCAACAAATTTCAGGTGGTCTTAAACTTTTCCAACTCCATATCACTCCATATCACAGACAACACGTAGGGCCGTGCATCTCAAATTTAACATTGTTAAATGATGCCTTTTAAGGGTGACTAAATTACAAATTGACATTTTGATGTACATCTATGTCATAGATGAACAAAAGACATTGGTATGTCCTCATGCATTGCATGTTTTATACAGAAACCCTTCTTTTCATGGTGTTTAAATATAAAAACATGCTATCGCGAACAGGTAGTCAGTTGATAAGAAGGGACATACCGATGTCTTCTGTTCATCTACCTTACTGGCATGTCACAAAAGTCATAATAGAAAATACGACATGAATGTACATCAAAAGATATGTTGTGTATACGTTAATACAGATCAACGTGAATTTGTAAGTAGAAGCTCAGAAGTTTGTCAACAATTACAGCTATTGGGCCAAAATGTCGTAGATTTCAGTGATGGTAGAACGCGAGTTATGTGCTAAAATGATCCCCAGTATATGTAAATACATTAATATAACTAATATGATATTCTTATGGTAAACAATCTTTTAAATGCCAAGTTTTCTTATTGTCATTAAAATGAAAGACACCTTTTATACTGCATTTGTGATATATTGACTTGAAACATGTATCAATATAATTATGCTCATCACACTTTTCACCATTCACAAAATCAGGACAAGAAAAAGACGAAATTACTTAATAGAGCACAGTATTAATACAATACAAATAAATAATGCCATATTTACATAGGACGGATTATAAATTCATGAAAAATAAATTTTAAATGATCATTTCAATAAATATCTCGATTCTATTCTCTGACAGGCAATATATCCTAGATTCATACTCTCAAGAGGTCAGTGCAGGCCCATACTGCAAGTAAACGCACATGAAGGTGTAACTACAGTAAGCCTATTAAACTCTGGATTTATTTGTCAGTGGTAATTGAATCTCAAATTGAATTCTTTTTACATCAAAAGACAAGTATCTAGGAGCTTTGTTGTATAAAACAAATCATGCTAGTTTTCATTACAGGATCTGTCCATTCTTGTTGTAGCCTCCTGGCTTTTTGAAGCCTCTACTTTAAATTGGATAGATTTCAGGTTCACATGAAAGATTATCATTTCACACTATATTCTCTACTCAGGAGTAGTAAATCCCATACAGGAAAGTCTACCCTAATATAATTTTAAAAAAAAGCAGAAGTTGACTACTTGGGAGAAGATACTAGGATAGAAATTGACAAAAAATTCTATTTGTCAAGGTAGTTAAAGCTCTACTGCACTTGTGCCCTCTATATAGCAAACAATGCCTAATCCCCCATAGTCCCCCATGATCCTCATTTTTTTTATAATTGAGAGCTGATTTGTGAGATAACCACCTGCCAGTGACCTTGCAGAGTGGTCTAATCCCTCCTGTAAACTAGTACAGATGGGCTTTAAATTTCAATAAGACTAAAGTGATTTCAAATAAAGTCATTGGACACATTTGAAGTGCTTCTTTGTCTTGATCTCTGCAAATGTTTAGAAATTCAATTCTGGACACATTTAGAGTGACAGAAATTTGCATGAATTTAAATATATCAAGTAACTTCAATATCATCATAAATGCTTCTTGCTCTGTATTTCAATAGCTCTCTTGTAGTCTGCAATCGCTTCCTCCCTCCTTCCCAGACGACCTCTGACCTCTGCTCTTCGCTTATGAACTAGTGGGTCATCCGGTTGCAAACTCAGAGCTGAACAGATATAAAAGGAAAACAAATCATGAAATTAACAAAATTCATCTCGGTTATTAATCCTTGTAAACACATCTTCTGGTGGGGGAAAAAAAACACAAAACTAAAAAAAAGATTTTTTTTTCTTGGGGGGGGGGGGGGGGAGGAAGAATGGGTTGGAATGGCATGAATTTTACAAGGAAATGTTAAATACCCTTTGATGATTAGTAACAAAATTGTCGACCAATCAGTTGCCAACTATCCTTAGTCGGGCTTTATGAGTATCATTTCCATCTCCTACATGTCGCTAAATAACAGAATAACAAGCTAGGCTAAGTTAGCTTTTGTAGATATGGGACCAGATTTCTTATCTTACTGAAAAATGATGCATGCAAAAAGAAAATTAAGACAAAAAGTGAACTGGGTTTTAATCAAATACATTGCATGTATGAACTTCCAAGAAAGAATTTGTATTAAACGCGCATCCAACTGTGTTGAGTTCCTACCTTCACTGTAGTCTTTCTCAGCCAGTTGATATCGTTTGAGTGAAGTGTACAGGTTTCCTCGGTTGAAGTACAGATGAGCAGAAAGAGGACTTAGCTTGACAGCTTTGAAGAAATCTTCCAGGGCTCCTTTGCTATCTCTCGTCAACACCTACAAATACAAGGAACATTATTATACAAGGAACATTATTATACAATTAGAATACAAACTTTTCTCAAAGTCTAGATTTTTTTCCTCGCATCACGTTGCCAATTTAGAGACTACATTATAATTGAATTAATTCTTATTGACAAATAGAATGATGGAATAAAAAATGTCTACTCTTTATAATTCCTTTCTTCAACAAGCAAACACTGAACTGCTCACTGCAAAGAGAGGGCTAAACATGATGGTCTCTAACCAACACCTAGAAAAGGTAGAGAATATCAGTGATATGTTTAACTTATTGATAGTTGTCTTAATTTACAGGTTTCAATGGTATAAAGGAAGTGGACTAAATCATTATTTTTTGCTCCTTTCAAAATTTAGTTCATCCAAATAATGCACTTCTTATCTTACTTTTCCTACTGCATCTTCTGACTAATTATCAAATTCTGTTTACACAAAACGAACAAGTGTGAAGGGAACCTGTTAAGGCAGTCACCAAAACCTGTCCAACAAATGAGGAACCAGTCATCTCATGCTGCATGTCTGTTATTATCTAACAGTATAGTGCTTTTAAACCTGAAATCATATTCTCTGATAACACCCAAACTGATTTATTTTATGATTTCCCTATGAAGAAAGACAAAAGAATACTTTTAAACAATATGCAATATTAGGACAAGAAGTAGTATTAAATGCAATGTTCTCCACTATAGTGTAAAGCAGGGCTCCACATTTTTTTTCACAATAACTTTTCCATTGAAATTCTTTCTAAATTAAGAGAGAAAGAAACAGGGGGTGTTGGAGGGGGGCATATCTTTGGACTGGGCAAAAAGAAGAAAAAATACCTTTGTGATAGCTCTGTTCAAGAGAGCCGATTCATCTGATCCATTCAGTTCCAAGGTCTTGTCATAGAACTGTAACGCCTGTAAACAGGGGACAAATAACATCCCACGTTATCTACCGGGTACATGTATATATACATTCAAACATGTTGATTCATCCATGTGATTGTCAAAGTTAGACTGTATTGAGATCAAACTCTAAAGAAATACATTTAAATCCCAGAGGAAGGGGAAAATTTGGAAATAATATTATAAGTTGGCATAAAGTATATTTTTTAGGGGTGATAGTGAGCACTAAAAAAAAATAGTTTTTTTTGTTTATTGGGAAAATTGGGAAAAAAATAGGGCAATATAGGGAAGAATAGAAGAAATAAGAGGGAAATTGGGAAAATCAGGATAAAAAATGGAAGAAGAAAAAAAAAAATGTACAAAAAAAACAAAAAACAAATCTGGATTTTTTTTTTTTTTTTATAAATCGGAAAGAAGAAAAAATATCGGGAAAAAATTGGGAAAAATCAAAAAAAATCTGGAAACCGATTTTAATCAGGTTTTTATCAGGCCTGATTTCTTAAAAGTGTGATCTCTGTAAATATACACTTTGATTTGAAAGTACCTACAGAAAAATATCGAAGTAATCATCATTTAAGATTAAATATATATTTCAAATAATAACTATGACAAAATCAAACTTCAGATAGCATAGCCCAGACCATGGAATTAAAATTTGTAGTATCAAGTTTAACTTTTATTTGTTTTATTATATTAGTAGGTACAAATTTACCAGTAGCATTTCAAATGGTCAGCTGACAAAAACTATTTAAAAGTAGAAAACTATATATGAAGTTTTAAAAAAAATATAAAAAAATACTTCAAGTCATTTCACACACAAAATTATAGAGGAAGATAACTGAGAAGTGAGAGGGGGGGTGGGAGTTGGGGACAAGCTGAGACAGTGGATACAATGATAACAAAAATATTGTATGAAACAGAAGGCTAGAAAAAAAATGTACCGAAAATAAACAATGCAAAGTAATGAAAGCACATATTGCTCACCTGCATGAACTGCCTATTACTGAAGTAGAGATTAGCCGCATTGAAGTATGCCAAGGCATAGCTCTTATCCTTCTTGATGGCTGCCTGGAAGTCAATCATTGCACTCTCGTGATCCTGCAGGAACTGATTGACCACACCCCGGTTGACAAAGAGCTCTGCGGACTTACCGATGCGGAGGGCGTTGTTCATGTCGAGGAGGGCGGCGTAAGGGTCACTCATCTGGAGGGATACGATGGCACGCCCCTCAAGGGCTGGGCGGTAGTCTGTACATCAAGAATAAGAGACATAACGTATTAGTTGACAGAGTTGCTAATTTAAAAAATCTATTGACGGGGGGCTCATTTTGTATGCATTCAGCTTCAGGCACATAAATTACAAAGTGAAACAGGCTAAAAACTAAAAGTTTCCCTCTTGGTAACCAAAAAGCCTTGCTGTGTCATCAACACATTAATTGGAAAGTACTGACTAGTGAATGAAGTTCAGTATTATTTAAATTCATTGTGGTGCTTTGATGGCCTTGATGGAAACCTTTTGCATTCATTTGGGCCATTTCTTTAGATATTCAGTGCAGTGGGCTTACTCATTGAATATAATGACTCTAATGTGCCTATATACTAATAACTTTTCAATAAGCCCAAATACATAGACCACTGTAGATGTGAGTTTTTTTTGTCAAATCTACTGAAGGGAAATTTTGTGCAATGAGCCCCAATACAACATACAACATGAAAAATCTCTTGATATTTATGACCATGATAGTGTTAGTAATACCAGAGAAAACCATTATTATCAAAATAAGATATTTTCATTTTTTTATGAAACAAAATTGGATTAATTTCATATGTCTTATAGGGGACATATTGTATGGAATCGCCCAAAATCATTTCTGCAACAGTCAAAAGTGTAATCCTACTCTAGGTCCTCAAGTTCAACAGGTGTATGAGACTCACTTGGATTTAGTTTGAGGCAAGTTGTGAAGAGGTTCCAAGCTATCTTGTAGGAGCCACTGATCTGCATGTTGTAAGCCAGGTTCACTCGGCCAACCAGGCACTCCGGTTCAAGGATGATAGAACGCTGGTAATCTCGCCTAAAATTATAATCAATGAAGGAAAAAAAATAGCACAATGGGGATGGGTATCAAAGGAGACATAGAGGAATTTTGTTTTTCTTCTGGCCTTTGATTTTTATTTCATATCAAAGATTCACAATACCATCAAACCATTATTTATGAAATGTGCTGATTCGCGGTAAAAATTAATCTATTTCTGGTCTTCTTTAGGACCTGAACTACTGTTTTATTTTTTTTGCAATAATATACCATAAGAAATATCAAAATGAGCCTTTAGTTGATTATATAGCATTTGTCTATCACCTAAACTGTTTCCATTCCATGTTTCAAGTATCTTATCATAAGAATACCCAAAGCTGGGCTTATAGCATTTTGGTCTGAAGTTGGTCTGAAGTCTTAAGTTTTCCTACTTTAAAAATAGTTTTTTCTTTCTTTCTTTCTCAATCCCCGCTCTCCCCTTGAGTTACACAAAAAAAGGATTCAAGGAAAAAACTTTTGAGTAAAAAAATTGGGGGAAAATAGGGGGAAAATCATTAAAAAAAAGGGGTAAAATTGGGAGAAAAAAAAAATATCAGGAAATCAATTTAAATCGGGTAATTATCAGGCCTGACCTGAATATACATAGCATGATGGATGAATGGAAGAAGTATATACCTGGCCAGGAGGACTGTTTGAGGGTGGCCGTAGTCCATGAAAGCATTACCCCTTCCTAGGTAGGCATCAATGAAGAATGGATTTGCTTCTAAGGCACTGCTGTAAATGGCTACTGCATCTTCTAACCGATTCAACCTGAATGAGAAGATAAAAACAAGCCATTATTAAAACATTTATATCCTTAAATATTAAAAAATCTGTTAGCTCTCAAAATACACATTTGGCCAGGGAACTAGGAACCTTGGAACTATGACAATAACCTTGTATTTTCCTTCTTCAGGAAAAATTCATTAGTTGAAAAGAGTTCAGAGAGTGAAGAGAAAGGTTTTAAAGGATGACCTTAATGGCAGTGTCTTGGTAAGTATTCAGTGGTCTAAGCTTTCAGTCCTATCCAACAGCTTCATAATTGAGGAACAATGCCTGAGTTATTCTACTCCACAGAAATAAACGAAAGCTGAATGCTACTAGTATAACCATTTATAAATAACTAATTAACATGAATAGTTTATTTACCGTTTATTTGTAATGATCAAAGATAACTTACTTGTGACAGCACAATCCCAATGTATGTCTGATCTTTGGATCTCTTGGGCTTACCTGGAAAAGATTAAAGTTGACATGATTTAAAAACTCAAAACGCTTTGTATTGCTCAGTTACAAAATAATAATTCTTGTATATTTTCCTCAGGACAGATATTTTTCCGCCAAATCAGTATGTAGGAAATCACTCTTTCAACATGAATTGTATAGGTCTGTTCATCCTTGGTATATCATTCTTGGCCTATATTAAAATGTAAGGAAGATCCTTGAGATGAACTCTTACACTAACCCTGTTAGTGTTTACAAATGATTGTATTTTTATTATTCAGATGGCAGGGAGGTTGCATCCATCATTTGTTACTTCTAGGTCATTCAAATCTCCCACCAACTCTCAGAGTTGAAATAGCAAATTTGAACCAGAAAGTAAACCAAAAATAAACAAATGAATAATACCTCCCCCCCCCCCAAAAAAAATGGCTTTTTTTTTTTGTTTTTTGGCCAACATGAACAGCAACATTTCAATGCCGTAAATATCAGTGTATATGACGTATCACGGACCCCTATTTGGGGGGCCAAAATTATTATCATTTTTTTTTTTTTTGCTGACTCCGTAGGCAGCAAGCCAGGTCCGTGTTCAAAAACTCACGCGGGGAAGGACCTTTATTTTACTGCGAGGTGAAATTGTAGGCGCTGATATTTCCTTATGAATAGTAACAATGTCGTTTTTAAAGCTAAAGATGACAGACAAATTTTGCTGTAAGTCCAAACAGAAATCCGGCCATACAGGTAGTGTTGTTCTAGTTTCGGAGTGGTGAGTTAACACACCTTCACACCTTGTATGAATGAGCTGGAAGACATTACCAGGCACAATGCAGGTGGAGGGTTATAAATCGACCCCCTCCCCCCTCCAAAAAAATAAAATAAAAAAATTGTACCAGTGTTTAAGACGCACCCCAGCTAAACACAGAGATTTACGGAATTGGTGATTTATTTACATGCACAAATTAAAAGGAAGTCTTTTGTCAGCACTCACCTCCACTGCCTGAGAGAAGTCATCTCTGGCATTTTTGTAATCCTTCTGTGCAAAGTACATCAGCCCTCTATTGATCAGCACCTACACATAGGGATTGACAAAGAGACAGATAAAGCATCATTCACAGCTCTATAGAAGCCCATTTCTCAGCTATTTCTTCAAAATTTATCAACAAATAGAACTTTCCTCAAAAGGAAAATGCAGGGGTGCATGCCTGTGAATACTACAGGGGCTTTATTATTGTCCCTGGGGGGGGGGGGGGGGGAATGGCCCTTTAAATCCCCATGTCAAGTCTTTTTTCATGATAATTTATATATCTATACTTAATAAAATATACCAGCTTACAAATGGGGTTGTTCATTTCTACAAAGTCACTTATATATTTCCTCTAATGCAAATTATAGTCATGTGGCTGTACTTTACATGTATTTTTGTCATTCTTGAATTGTAACTTCTTGTTGGGTTCCAAGAAACAACTGGAGTGAACTCTTCAAGCTCTTTTTTATTTATTTATCTATTCTGTTTTATTCAAACAGGGTAGCCCTGTCAGTAATCACAGTACTATTTTCCAGGGGGCCCTGTAAACAAATGCAACATAACAATATGAAGATAAAAACTACTTAAAACAATATAAACAATATGAACATCATTGAAAACATCAATACATAGTAACATAACACAACATAAGGGAAGAATAAGAGTGAATAATGAACAAAGCTGTAGTAAGAACGATTACAAATCAATACAAATTAGCGTATACACTTATTATCAATAATTTGTCACAGTCATGTAATACAGAGGTTGCACACGTTAGAAGGACAGTTGCTACGTACCTTGAGTGAGTTCTCATCACCCAACATGAGTACGATTCCATAGTCCCTCTGAGCCTTCTGGTAGTCCCCGGTGGTATGGTAGCAGACAGCCCTGTTGAAGTAGGCTAGTGAACAGGTGGTATCGAGCTCTATGGCCTGGCACAGATCCTTGATGGCAAGGGCATGGGCACTGATGTAGTACTTCAGGGCTCCTCTGTATAGAATAAGAGTAAATAAGTTTGCTAGTACAGGAACTCTCTAACATTTCAGGGCCGCATCTTACAAATAGCTGATATCAATGTACATAAGAGATATGAGACTGCAAACTTGCGATTGATTGGAGGACTTGCGGTTGATTTGGATCAATCGCAACTCTTTGTAAGACGGGGCCCTGGATCACAAATAGGTTCCTGGAACACATCGCTGGCATATTTTACAAAGTGAACAAGTTTGAGATGCAGTGACAAATAACCAAAGGTACTTTCCATTCTCAAAGAGCTTCCTGCACACCACTAACCCCTTGATGACAACACACATTGGCCAGGATGGACTTACAGTCTTGATCAAGTTCAGGCAATGAAATCTAAGCTTCCTCCATTCCCCAAACATCTCTACCATCAGGTTAGAGTGAGGCAACACCCATTTAGAAACGCTTAAATTGTTATGCAGAAATGGGGAAATAATGATGATGGACCTGTATATGACTGTGGGGATGTACAAACAATAGAAGACCTCTTGGTCTGTCCTTTACCCCCTTCTACCAAAACTCTATACTAACAAAGATCTTTAAAGGATTCAACTCTCGGGACCGACCCTGTTTTATCCAAGTTAGTTACCCAAGAAAAAGAGGGTTTTTACCTGTAGAGGTAAGCTCTCACACTGTTCGGCTGCAGACGGATCGCCTGGTTACAGTTGTAAATTCCCTTGGAATAGCGCCCCCTCTGTCCATAGTATGCAGCCCGACTCAGGTAAGCCTGGAACAGCTTAGGGTTGAGGGCCAGGGCCCGGTTGAAGTCCAAGATCCCCTTGGCCTGGTGTAGCCTGGTCCGAGTCAGACCTCTCTGGTAGTAGGCCTAAACAAAAGGAAGAGGACCACATTCATCAAGTCATTATACATTTTTTTTGAAAGAACACACCTTGTATAGTATTTCTCTTATGAGTTTTGTTAGCTAGTGGTTAGCAGAGCGTAGAAATCAACAGTGGAAACAAAATCAAGATGCCAATATACAGTACCTCATATTTTTTATTTCATATCTCATATTCATCGGTCAACTTGGTAGGACAACTAGAAAGAACAGATAACTTCTATTGTTATACAATGAACTGATTTATTTATTTGAATTTATAAATTGAATGACAACTCTAGCACTATGAAATCTCTATCAAGTGAAGCAAAAATACAATAGAATATATAGTCTTTGTCAAATCTTTAAGATTCATGCATCATATGCCCTGTCTCAATCACCTTTGTTTAAATGATTTTCACCTATCAAAGGAGGTGAATGTGCTTCCTGCCTTTCTTCTGTTTAATTGTCTTGTACCCCACCCTCTCCCACAAAGGAAAAAGTGCACAGGGATTGTAATGAAATTTGATGTACAGGTTGCTAATGAACGAGGACTAAACCCATCTGACTTTGGTTAAAGGTATTGGGTAACTTTGTCTCAGATTCTGAAACAAAATCCTGGATTTAGCTCATGCTGCAATGATAATTATAAATCATTAGGTCAGTCTGATTATCAAGATATTTATGATTCCAAATCGTGCATCTCAGATTTATCATTGTTAAACGATGCCTTTAATGGTTTGTTTTGTTACCTCAGGGTATTCTGGGTTGATCTTGATTGCACTGTTGAATGCCTCGTATGCCTTGTAGACGTTTGGTATCTCCATGTGACACATCCCTATCAGGTAGTAGACCTCAGCTGCTTCCAGAGGCCAACTCTGCCTCTCCTGCCAAGGTTTCTGCAAGAAAAAGGAAGGAGATATTGATTTGAAGAGATTTGTTGAAACCAAAGATTAATAGGTAACTCGCAAACATATCTTTGTATTAAGGGATAAAAAGAGGGCACAAATTAGAACTGACATTGTTCAGTGATAAACAAAATATAACTTAAGGCCCACTGTACTACTTGTAGCTACTTCCACCCTCTATATAGCAAACAATGCCTAATCGGTGCCTGTTGGTCCCCCATGATACCCTTCTTCTTATGTTAATTGAGAGCTGATTTGATGAGATAACCACCTGTCAGTGACCTTGCAGGGAGGTCTAATCCCCCCTGGCAAAACTAGTGCAGTATGGGCTTTAAGGGATAGAAGGAGGGCACAAATAAGAACTGACATTGTTCTGTGATAGACAAAATATAACTTTAGAAATAACTAATAACTAAAGAAGGTTTTAGGAGCCCTTTTCTGTAGTTTGAACACTTGACTGCAAATACAAAGATTGTGGGATTAAGTACCGGCGTGGGAACAACAATGTCCTTCTGCAAGATGTTAATCAAAATTTGCCATGAAAGACTCATGTGTAGCAGCAAACAAGTCCTGAGTGGTGAGTAAGTATTTGTATGCTGTGAGCATCTGTAGCTTGGCCAATTCAGGGCACCCAGCAACATTGGGCGCCTTGAGCATCATTGCATAGCAGATATGAAAGCTGAACAAAAATTATCATTAAGTCCTCTCTGCTTCCAGAGAAAAGGCAAAAGTTGAATACCTGAACCTACATGTATCTTACAAAAAGCTACGGTCAAACCTGCTTTAGTGACCACCTGTCTACAACAACCACATTTTTTTCCCTTGAAAATGGTTTCTCATTGAAAAATGTACTAAAGGAACAAAGACCACCTGTCTACAAAGATCGCTTTTTGTATTTCCCTTGGGCGGTCGCTATAGACAGGTTTGACTGTATTTTATGACTGAAGCATGATTCTCACCATCAAGTCGAGAGCTTTCTCCAGACTCTGGACGGCTGGCTGATACTTCTTGGCCTTGATCTCAGTCTTCCCTAGCAGGATGTAGAGGGGTGCTGTGGGGCTGACCTTGACCGTGCTGGACAGGACCTCGATGGCCTTGCTGTAGTTGTGCAGGAAGCTCTGAACGGCAGCTTGTTGGGTCGGGGAAGAGCCCAAGCCGTGGGCTAGTTCAGCCGCGTGTCTAAGAGGAAGGAATACGGTAGAGCAATGCTTTATTACCTTATTAACCTCTTGACTCCTGACTACTCTCATTCCCTCATACTTAATACAGGAACCAGGTCGTTTCTGTAGCAAATGGGAGGTACATTTGCCATATATTAGCAGGGCTTTAGTGAAGGAAACACTGTTTGGCAGCTTGGTGGGTCTGGGAAGATTTTAGGAATTGATATCCTCCAAGGTATAGGGTTAGGGTTGCAATCAGGTTTTAGGTTACATTTAGGGAAAGGGTCAGGGTGAGGTAAAGTTTTGGATCAAGTTAAGAATCTAACAAATGTGAGGAATCATAAAGCAATTTTTGCCAACCATGTTTCCTACAAACAAGCATTTTGTTCTTTCGCTGGTCTCTTTGCACAAAGTTATATTAAGGATAGCACAAAATAGCCAATGTGTTGTTCTCCATAAAGGCAAAGGTACAAATAAGGAGATACCTGGAATTTTTTACTAACTCTACTGTAGAAAATACAATCAATCAACCAGTCTTTCAAATTTACTGGACACAGAAGCTGACCAGTTCTTCTGAAGTCATCCAGCTTCTAATTCCTTACTGTTTGCAAAAAGCAAGAAGGGCGTTTACTCATACTTGTACATAGAATGAACAACCTACTGGCTTCTGGCAATAAGTTGAATAGCCATGGTTCCCCTTAAACCTATCCAAACTACACAACATCTTAAATGAATGACCAATCAGTCAACCAATTGAACTTACAGGACACAGAAGCTGGCTAGTTCCAAGTTCTTCATCCTGAGTAGTATCTGGCCTCTAAGCATGTAGTAATGCTGCTGGTCAGGTCTTAGGTGGATGGCTCGGGTGAAGTCTTTCAGGGCATTCTTCAACTGAGGGGAAACAAATGGAATTATGAAATGGATAAAGGAAACATCTAATCACAATCTCTTTGGGTATGAAACATTCTTTTCAATCAAACTTAATGAGCAATATTTCCATCTTACATTTCTGGAGTACTGAATGTAAAATGTTACCAGACACAAACGTGACTTTCCTTTGTGTCAGAGGCAATAAACTTCATTCAATTTTTCTTTTAAAATATACCCAAGGGTACCATACAACTCTTAAAGGGATTGGGTAACTTTGTCTCAGATTCTGAAACAAAATCCTGGATTTAGCTCATGCTGCAATGATAATTATAAACCTTTAGATCAGTCAGGAACCCCATGACTTTTACAAGTCGATCGTCTGTCTGATTATCAAGATGTTTATGATTGGAAATCAAAATTTTAAAATTTCTTTTCCTAACGATTTTCATAACACTACAGTCTATTGGGGCAAATCAGTATGGTAAAACCAGTCGCTCAAAGATTTTATTTTCGAGGCACTCCATGATCATTTTGAAGCACAATTTTTTTAGGACTTCAATATTACACCATATCACAGACACTGATAACACGTAGGGCCGTGCATCTCAGAGTTAACATTGTTAAACGATGCCTTTAATTCATCTTGGTCCCTGTATGCAAAGCATTAATGTATCGTATAAACAGGTGTATTATTACCTCATGAATCTTATGATAGGCTTCTCCTCTGCATACGATTGCTCTCACATAGGTCGGGTCAACTTTGATTGCATTGGTGAATTTCTGAATGGCCCTAAAAAAAAAGAAACATTCATTCATATACAAGCTAGTAGAAGGACATCTACCATACATTAAATAACATATCTTTATTTACTTTTTTGAGGAATGTGTCTTTTGAAAGTAAATTTAGGTTTTCAATGCACTAGCAAATAAAATTGACATGTAGAGCAGATTTGAAGACTCAAGCCCCTACGCTATTGCCCTGCAGTAAATCATTAACCAAATTCATCCCTGGTCTAAAAACATCACCTGCTCTTGCCCCATAACCCTATACCTCACCTAAAATCACATTTTAATCCCAGCCCTCATCTTAAACCTTTAACTAACCAAAATCTAAAGAAAATAATGGTGATTAAAATAAAATAAGGATTTAAATAAAATGTTAATGGCTTCTTATTACAGTGAAACCTGTATAGAAAGACGACCCACAGGAGACAGGAAAAACAGTCTTTAATACAAGAGTCAATGTAAATATATATTCAAGGGAGACAACAAATGTGGTCTTTCTATACAGGAGGTAACGCAGGTTTGACTATACATAGAAATTGAAAGCTGTGTGGAGTATGTTTGCACAAAAATAAAAAGTCAGATACAGTCAAACCTGGTTTAGCGACCAACTGTCTACAAAGACCACATTTTCTGTTTCCCTTGAAACTGGTTTCTCATTGATACATGTACTAAAGGAACCTGTACACAGAAACCACCTGTCTGTGAAGACCACTTTTCTTGTCTCCCTTGGGTGCATGGTCTTTATAGACAGGTTTCACTGTATAAGCAGGATATAACGATCAAGGCATGAATTTTAGCTGACATACTTGTGATAGTTATCCAGCTTGGTCATGTAGATGAGACCGAGATTGACATGAGCCGCTGCGATGGTCCTGTCCAGCTTGAGAACGTTGTCAAAGTCTGTGATGGCATCCTCATGACGCCCCATGGCCATGTAGAGGATACCCCGATGGAAGAACGCCATCCCGTTGCTATGGCCGTCGTCAAGGAGTATGGACACGCTCAGATCCTGTGGTGGTGGAAGTCAATCAAGGGATTCGGGGGGCGTTTCACAAAACTTGGCATCAGTGACACATGACAGTTTTTTTTTTATAAGCTACCGAAATCCTTGCTTCTGATTGGTCATCAGCAGATTTGTCACTGATTTTTGTCATTTGTCATTGAAAACAGGCTTTGTGAAACACCCCCTGTTAGGTTTCATACAAACACAGTGATTGACATCATATTCAAAAGATCCTTTGACATGATAAAGATGATACTTATGTGCAAACAGAACCACTTTTTGCACAAAATAATGATTACCTCAAATTGTGTTCATTAAAAAAAATGTAATCATAATCGCAAGGGAATGATAGCCGAAAAATGAACTGTGTGACATATACTTCCAAGAACACTGGTTTGTGGTTACAAAGGATAAATATATACAGGAACAAAACTTTGAAAAAAGAGGAGATAAATAGACATAAAAGCACGAGAGAGAGAGAGAAAGAGAGAGAGAAAGAGACAGAAGGAGAGAATGAAATATAGAGAGAAGGAAAGAGAGAAAAGAGAGACATGAGAAAACGATTAACAGATAGCATGAAAGGCATACTGGTGTGTTGGCTCAATCAGTAGAGCATCCGCCTCACAACCAGGAGGTCGTGAGTTCGAACCCCGGCCGCGTCATACCAAAGGACGTTAAAAGACGCGAGTTGCTGCTACCTTGTTTGGCGTTCAACAATAAGGGATAGAGCAACTTCGATCTGGTGCTGCTCAGTGGCTGCCGGGCTCACGATCAATTGGGCAAAAAGAATTTCCATTTTCGGTTTAATTTAATAAAATTTGGAGTGGACTTAAAAAAAAAGATTATTATTATTATACAGAGTTAGACATTTAAAGACAGATACAGAAAGAGATTTACAAAAGAACTTTCCATACCTGCAATGCCTGTTTAGGATGAGCCTTCCTGAGCAGACATCCTCTGTGGTAGAAGGCCACACTGCTGTTAGGATCAAGGTGTATAGCTGCAGAGAGATCTGCCACGGCTTCAGGGTACATGCCCTGCTTGGCAAAGGCTCGCCCCCTGTAGGTGTGGCCTAGCGCATTGTTAGGCTCCTGCACCAGCAATTCTGAGAAATCCTTGATGGCTGCCATCCAATTCCTAACAAGAAATCAAATCCAGTGCATGAATGGATGAGTCAGGGATCAAGTCACGTTAAGTCATTTTATACCAAAATAATAAAATGAACATTCCTCTCTCTTTTTCGATGACTGCTTGTCTTGAGAACTAAGCAATAATAGATAGATACATATGATTTATTGTGGTAAATTATTTAAATCAGAACTGATTTTATTATTTACTATATAAATCTATGTATCTACCTCTTACTATTGATTGATAATTCAATTCAAATGATTTTATTTCTCATACAAAACATAATATAATGAATAAGTATATTACAAAAAATATATAATGAAACAACAAATATAATAGTAATAGCAGAAAAGAGGAACTAACTAGAAACAGTAAGAAGCAGGATATTCCAGAGATTTTGGTCGGAAACACATGCTTTCTAGACCCTGCTTCTATTGCTGAGAGTTTCCATGATTACTTTGTAAATATAGGACCTCATCATTCATGTTGTGGTCAAGGACTGTTAATCAAATGGAGTATCACAAGTCTGAAAGACATTAGCCGTATATAAGGACCCTCTATTATCTTTACTATTATTATAACTTGAGAAGTGCTAGACATACTTTTAAACTAGAAAATATCTATGAGAATTGACAGCACAGTAAGCTATATATGCGTACACTAAATTTTTGTCCTTAACAATGTTGCAATCTTGCATCAAAACACAAGTCAATGCTTTTTTATAAGTTTTAAAATGCAATGTCAGGAAAAGCCATTACATTACCAACTGCAATCTTTCTCACCCAAAGAAACCTTCAGGGCTTGTTTTACAATACCGTATTTGCCGGCGATAAGGCCGCACCCCCAACTTTGACATTTCAAAAGGGAAAAAAATATTATCTCTTCCAAAAATACTGCAGCCTTTACGCCGGCAAATACGGTACAACATAGAATATAATGTACAAGCTACACAACAGTGACATACTTGTTCATATCAAACTGGTAGAGTCCTCGTTTCATGATGGCCTTGGTCATGTTTGGCATAAGGCGTGTTGCTTCTCTGTAGTCTTCTAGGGCAAGCAGCATCTCACCTCTCTGTTAATCACAAGCAATCCATACATTGTCAAGTCAAGTCAACAGAAGATTTACATTCCATGATTCATTGTCATCATGCTTGCAAGCTAGATGAGCATGACCCACAACACTAAAAATTCATCCAAACTTTGATATAAGGTAAGAAAAAGCAACTGAATAGTCATACATTGTCAAGTCAAGTCAATGTAAGATTTACATTTCAACTGATTCATTGTCATCATGTTTGCAAGTTAGAGGAGCATGACCCTCAACACTAAAAAGTCATCCAAACTTTGATATAAGGTAAGAAAAAGCAACTGAATAGTCATACATTGTCAAGTCAAGTCAATGTAAGATTTACATTTCAACTGATTCATTGTCATCATGTTTGCAAGTTAGAGGAGCATGACCCTCAACACTAAAAAGTCATCCAAACTTTGATATAAGGTAAGAAAAAGCAACTGAATCTCTCTGTACCAACAATTGACAAAAACATTACCAATGAAGCTATCAATTAACACCCTTCGCAATGCAAACAAGGCACTGATTTCATTGCCACCGAGGGCCTTTTGCAACAGGCATCTATGAAAGCATAAAACTACAAGATCTACCATGATGTCATTCAGGTCATTTTTGTCTAAATCCCATGGCCTCATTCTTGTCAAAGATGGCTGAAGATTCATAAAGACTCAGGTATGTGCAATTGAAATGATTGACATTACACATACCTCAACACACAGTATCTTTATACCATACAAAATCGTCAAATATGGTTGATGATTTATACATGTAAACTCAACAAAGTATCTTTATACCATAAAAATTTACTCCTAATACAAGATCAATGAAAACTGCTATGAATCATGGGATGGATAGAGAGAGAGACCATGTTCTTTGACTTAGTTTTGATCGGTAATATCAGTATTCAATTCAGAATATACAGCGACTACCCAAGGAAAAGACAAAAAGTGGCCTTTGTAGACGGGTAATCATTGTAGAGATGTTCCTTTAGTACATGCTTTAATGAGAAACCATTTTCAAGGGAAACAACAAATGTGGCCTTTGTAGACAGGTGGTCTTTGTAGACAGGTGGTCATTAAAGCAGGTTTGACTGTATAACTCACTGCTTCATAGAGCTCGGCCCGTTTGAAGAATGCTTCATGGTCCTGTGGATCCAGCTTGACCGTCTGTGTGAAGTTCATGATAGCCATGGTCAGGTCACCCATACTTGTGAAAATCTGAGCTCTGGAATCAAAGAAAGAAAGAAAAAAAGAAAACAAAGGTAATCTGGAATTCTGGGCCCTGACAAAGAGTTGATATTAATCGCAACTTATTTATATCAATCGCAGCTATGTACATAAGAGATTGCAAACTTGCAATTGATTTGGATCAATCGCATTATCGCAACTCTTCGTAAGACAGGGCCCAGGTTGTAAATTGCGCCAGAATAACTGAACGAGTCCTTAATAAAGTATGCACTGTCACGCTATCTGAGATCAGCTCAGACAAACCTCTTGAAATGTTGAGTTGTTCAGACCAAGTTTTAGGGGGAGCGGTCATTTACTTGGGCACCTGGGACATATGGGACCCAAAATCTAGGCCTGAACACCCACCTCCCCTTTTTCTCATGCAGACAGACCATAACAATCTAAAACAGGAGAGCACACACACAAAATGTATTGTGGAGCTCTGGTTAAAGGCCCACTGCACTACTTATAAATACTTGCGCCCTCTATATAGCAAACAATGCCTAATCGGTGACCATTGGTCCCCCGTGATCCTCTTTTTCTTATGTTAAGTGAGAGCTGATTTGATGAGATAACCACTTGTCAGTAACCTTGCAGGGTGGTCTAATCCCTCCTGGCCAAACTAGTGCAGAGGGGCTTTAATGTTTTGCTTTTGATGACAATTTGTGAGATCACCATGCCTACCTAGATCTGTACGCTCCTACATGTTCCTTGTTAATCTTGAGGATAGAGTTGAGGTCTTCCAGGGCCTTGGTTGGTTTCTCCTTGAGCAGGTACAGGAGATGACGATTCCAGTAGGCATCCAGAAGAAGGGGTTCCAAGGCGATGGCCCGGTTCAGGTCGTCCCATGCTTGCTTCAGTTTACCAAGCTGGAGAGGTAAACAAGGGACAGTAAACAATGGCAAGTTTTTTTCTTCTATTTTATTATTTTAAAGGCCCACTGTACTACTTGTAGCTACTTGCTCCCTCTATATAGAAAACAATGCCTAATCGGTGACCATTGGTCCCCCATGATCCTCTTTTTCTTATGTTAATTGAGAGCTGAGTTGATGAGATAACCACCTGTGCAGTGACCTTGCAGTGTGCTCTAATCCCTATTATAAACAAGTACAGATAAGCTTTAATTTGTTTTTCTTCATTTGACATAATTTTAACACTATTTATGATCCATATCATGTTCTATTTCATATGTCAACATTATCTCTTCCATTCATGAAATGCTCTTGAATTTTGTTCCATCAGGCCTGTACAATCAAATAAAAGAAAGAGAAATAGAGATTAATACAGGCAAAGAGGGTACAAAGAGAAAGAGAAACAAAGAGAAAGACTGGGAGAAGGGAGAATAAGAGGAAGAGAACGAGAAACAGGAAGGGCGAGACAGAAATAGAAATAGAAAGAGAAAGAAAGAAAGAGAGAGAGAGAGAGAGAGAGAAAGAGAGAGAGAGAGGAACCACGAGAAAGATATGAATTACCAGATAAAGAAAGAAACTCATGAAAGTATACTCTCCGATTGACGTCATTTCTTGATACTTACCTTGCGATAAATGACTCCCCGACGAGTTAGGTCGAATGGTGAAGGCTTAGGATCATTGTCTAACTTTTCTGTCATATATAGTGCCTCTGTGTACAGCTCCTGTGCATAGATTAAAAGATAAAAACAAGAATAACTACATTGATTTGTTATTGGGAAATACACAAGTCTTTTACACTTTAACATGTTATTAGATTATAACTGCAATAAACAAATGAATATACAAGGAAGATATACTTTTCATTTGCACAAGGTAAATTAAGAGAGAAAAGGACAATGGAAAAAAACCCAGATAGACAGAAAATGCAAGAGGCAGAATAACAGATTAGAGTAAGAAAAAGAAAGAATGAAAGAGATAAAGTGAGAGACAGAGACAAAGAGAGACTCATCAACAAAGAGAGACAGATAAATACACAAATGACCAGAAAGAGAATGAAATGCAACAGACAGAGAAAGAAAGATGGAGTCAGACAACAAGAATTCAACAAGTTTTCAACAGAACTACAGGGGGGCGTTTCACAAAACTTGTCATTAGTGACAATTGACAGTTTCTGTTATAAGCTACTGAAACCCTTGCTTCTGATTGGTTATCAGCAGATTTGTCACTGGTTTTTGTTATTGAAAAAAGGCTTTGTGAAATGCCCCCCCCCCCCAGGTTTACCTCCATGAGCTGTCCTTCCTCCTCTGTCTCTGCAGTGATGCTCAGGTCTTCAAGATGAACAGACATGGCTGTACTTAGAGCAGACATCCCACTACGTAGATAGATCAATGCAAAATGATAATAATAATAATAATACTCAGCTTTTAGATAGCGCTTATTATTACAATCACTAAGCACTTCCAAACTTGGAGATTATTACCTCGGCTTTAGCTGTGCTGCCATTACGGCACTCTAGCATTTCAAAGAATTAATTCCTGCCAGGTACCCATTTACATCACATGGGTTGAGTGTGGCAAATGTAGATCAATGTCTTGCCAAAGGACATTCGTGCCGTGGCGGGACTTGAATCGCGGACCTTGTGATCGACAGTCTGGCGACGTTACCACTTGACCACAGCACCTCTACATATGATAGCACACTGTATCTACATGTATGCCCAACAAGTAAATCACATAAGATATTCTGGGTCCAGAGCTGATATACAATATGGTATGCAAAGAAGTACTTCTGTGATGAGAGATTACAAGTTGCAGTACTGTCTAAACGAAAGTAAAAGCAATTTTTATTGACTACTAAAAGAGATGATTACTCCTTGCACCCATTTAAAAACCAAGTCCAACCCTGTGCACAGGGTTATTTTCATCATACTCCTAAAACGGTCACCCACAGAATGACGAATAAGTCGATTTTGCAAATGCTACCTGTAATAAAATTTCTCTTTTTTTCTGTGATTATTTCCCTCTAATGTCTGCCACACATTTGCTCATTTTTTTCTTGAACAATGCTGCAAGAAAAATCTAGTTATTGCCTGTGAGAGGGCAGTTCATTGTGTAAGAGGAACTTACAAGTCCGTGAATGAAACAAAAAAAAAATATTGAAGCGCCATTATGTTCCGTGTAATTCTAAAACATATCCTAGCCATGGCGTATTTCTTTAAACGACTTTCATTACAAAGAATGAAATCCAAGTCAATAAACATCAACTAAGAATAAATTTGGTGCATTACAAACTCGTTCAACCTCGTGCTTGCATGAAAATAACACTCTTTAATTTTTTTTGCCTTGAGCTCTTGCAATTTTTTTTTTTTTTGGGGGGGGGCTCTTTTTGGCATTTTGGGGGCTAATTCGCCCTGAGCCCTTGTGTATCTTTTTTCCCTGTGCAACTTACCCCTTGGCGAGTGTAGCTGCACTGGTCACTGATTGTTGAGCAGCGCCCTCTATCAGACTGCCGGTTTCACTGTCTTCTTCACTGGGTGGGTAGACCTCATCAAACCATTCGTCCCAAAGGTCTCTCACCCACTCACGTACCTTGATGGCTTTCCTGTCATCAAAATCAAAACACACTCGTATAACTATGGTGCCTTTTCAATTACAAGCAAAATATCACAACAGTTTTAACGCAAATCATTCAAGTTTATTACAATCCATAAACAGTTTCTCAGAATATCATGATTACGAGCTATTTATCATAAACATGTATGACCCTTTGAACTTTGACCTCATGACCAAAAAGTCTAATCAGTTCATTGGCTTTGCAAGATACATATATATGACCCAAGTTTGGCGCTAATCAATCAATAAGTTCTTGAGATAACGTAATCACAAGATATTTTGCATACAGAAGTAGCCCTGTGACCTTTAACCTTGTGACCCCAAAAACAAAAGGAGAAACTCACCTGACAAACTTTGACCTAAGGAAGTCTTCAAAATCCATGACATCTGGTACACTTTTTCTCCTCGGATGACGAACTCTCCTGGAAATGTATTAAATAAAGAAAGACAAAGAAAAGTATTGTTCTGTATAAATCATGTACAAAACATTATTAGTAATCTTATTGTAACCCACCACTCACAACTTTCCAGCCCATTGATACTATGATGAAAATATGAAATGGATTAATGGAAAAAGAAAGAGGTAGGGGAGGGAGAGAGACAGAGAGGAGAAAGATACAGAAAGAATGAAAGTTACTGATAGAGAGAAGGAAAAGTGAGATAGATCAAGAGACAGAGAGGAATAGATACACACAGAATGAGGCAGAGAGAGAGAGAGAGAGAAGGAGAGAAGGAGGGGGTTGGATTGGAAAGGGTGAGTTGGATGTAAAGAGTGCAATGATAGTAAAATACACAAAAACTATGAAAATAAACAACAAATAATTAATTTACTCACTTTGAAACCCTGACCACTGGATCAACCGGCACTGTAATCTTTGGTAAACTCAATGACCTGACAAATGAAAGAAAGAAGACCCAGGTTATCATACCCCTTCACCAATAATACATGGAAAAGACTTATGACATGTTTATTTTAATATGTAAATGAATGGCTACTGTGCGCAACAAAGGTCATACATGAAAGCACTTTTAATAGCTCTGTATTACAAGAAACAGAAATGTGAAGCATACTACACTTTACTTCGTCTTTAAAAAATGCTGTTTCGCCGCATCATATCTGGACAAAACTTTTGACTTACTTTGTCGGCATTCCAGCTAAAATGTGGATTACTAATTGTTTAAAACATTTCAACACTCACCTCGATATGATATTGGGTTCTTGCCTCAAGAAAGTGTCAATCTGCTTTAAGCGGAACTAAAATATAAAAGATTGTGGTTCATAGAGTAAAAGTACAGTATCGATACAATATAATATAAATTTCAATGTTTTTTCTATGCTGTGATACACAATAAAATGAAAATCAACAACATCAAAACAGCTTATTTATACTTGACTTGTAATGTTTCCAGCTTCCATTAAAATACAGATGATTATTAAATGTTATAGGAATTGACATTGCATGAGTGAGTGATATCTTCATGTATGAAGAAATCATACTTTTATGTGATGTTCTACAAAAAAGTTGAATCTGTGGTATATTAAAGACTTTTCCCTTCAATAGTATTTGAATATTTTCCATCGTGATCATATTATCCCTCAGTGGTGAGAGCTTTGGGAAAACATAATCCCTTTGGAAAACCAAACTCCCTTCAGCGGCAGTTGAATGTTATCATTTCTTTCAATTTTATCAATAAAATAACTTTTATATTAAATAGTAAATACTCACAGGATCCCAGTGCTTCTTCTTCTTCTTTTTCCTGTAAAAAGCGACAATAAAAAGGTATGATTTTGGGTTTAAATGGTTACAAGTGTATCCAAGTGGTGAGCATTGTGTAGCATTGAAGATCATCCCTCGGAATATGAGATATTCATTTAGTTAAAGATTAAGGTGCATATTAAACCAAAATGGAAAAACGATCTTATATCAAGGCCTTAATGAAACGAAAAGTACACTCAGTTGTTTCTAGTTATATTTAGAATGCCTCATATCGTGTTATCTGAATTTACGATATCTCTTTATACCACTGAAGTAATATATAAAACTGATATTTTATTTTAAATGTACAATAAAAGAACAGAACTTCAAATGTACATGTACGAAGCAGAAATATTGGATTAGTTTCGTTCATTTTCATTATATTATAAAACTAATTTGTCTGGAACGTTGCTGATTATGATTTTCATCCTTTCATGTGTCTAATTGTAAACATAATGAACAAAATAAGCAAAACTATTCTATGATCATGGATGTTTTTTTCAAAAACTATTCAAATATCGTTGATTTATTTTCAAATGCACTCACCCTTTGCGCGTTGGATAGATGACATACTTCATCCCTGCTTCTTTGGCCTGTTGTGCAAGAGATGGTCCTTCACCTGATAGAGATATGAAATAAATCATGAAGATAATGGACCAGTTCACGGTTAAGACATGTCCCAAATGACCCTGAATATCCACAGATCTTCAAAACATGCAAGAGGTCCCACTTTGTACATTTTGAAATAATCACTCCTACAGCGATAAATGCTACATAAATAGCCTTTGTTTCCCCTTTTCAAAGAATACTTCCACCTGTGTATCATGGAGTTCACTGCTTGTGTATAATTGAATAATGATTACATAACTTTCATGAGCACGTATCCAGTATTTTGTCTCTGGTGTATTTCACAATTTGGTCTGCAATGACCTTTATCTGCTCATGCTTAGACTGCAACTATGAACTGGCTTATTATAGAGCCACTGGTGGTATGGTAAACAGGGTAAGTCCAAGGGTTGAGATCACGTTGGTGTCTTAGAAGTTACCAATTATCTTGGACTAAGAACATAAATTGATAATAAAAATATATTTTTTATTGATATTTGGCCTTATAAAAGCTCTAGTAGGACTATAAACTCAATGAAATTGAAATATTGAAACCTTAGACGTATTCGGTCAGTAACGGACGGTAATGTGTAGGAAAAAATAGCTTAGGACTTGCTGATGAAGATTTACCAAAGAAAACATGTATTCACTGATGTGAAAAAATGTTCTACCATGCTTTGTAATTAAAATTCATCCATATCAATAAGTTGTATAATTGTTTATAATACTTAAGGAGAGGAAACAAATTAGAAAGCAAAATGAGAGAGAGAGAGAGATAGTGGGATATAATTGAACCATGGAATACCTTCAGTTGCATTCAACCAATGAAGCTTCAAAATGAGGCTCAAAGGTATTAAATTTGTTCTGAAAATAAGATTGAAAGTAGACTTACTTCGTTTCTTTCCTTCTTCCTTTGGGCTTGTTGATATTAGATCAGGTCCAGCTGCTAAATCAAGCTATACACATTCAAATAAAGAGACATTAGATTAGATAATACTCAGCCCATGGAGTGCCCCAGATTATAAAGAAACATGTATTTGAAAAATAAAATAACAAAAGAGTATTCTGCTGAAACTTCTGCTCAGTTGCAATTAAAATCAATCAAGTTATAAGCTGTATTGCACATGTATATATACAAGATAAAAATTAATATAAAAATTCAAATTGCATAGGATAAAAAACAAACCGCTGCTCTGTGATGTGTGTACCACAATATGTTAGAGGCTTGTTTTTTTCGCCTGCTGGCTAAAAATGACAACACTTTGTCCCTTGTGGCTAACTGGTTAATATTTCAGTAATTGGTAATTGGTGTTCATTACGTATTTCTTACTTTGTTTTGTATACAGTCAAACCTGGTATAGTGACCACCTGTCTACAAAGACCATATTTTTTGTTTCCCTTGAAAATGGTTTCTCATTGAAACATGTACTGAAGGAACCAGTACATAAAGACCGCCTGTCTGTAAGGACCACTTTTCTTGTCTCCCTTAAAGCACATCTGTACTAGTGTACAGGATGGATTAGACCACCCTGCAAGGTCATTGGACAGGTGGTTATCTCATCAAATCAGCTCTCAATTAACAGGAGAAAAAGGAGATCATGGGCGACCAATGGTCACCGATAATGCATTGTTTGTTATATAGAGGGCACAAGTAGCTATAAGTAGTGTAGTGGGATTTCAAGTGGTCTTTACAGACAGGTTTCACTGTACCATACAAGAGACCAATAATGCAAAAATGTACCTCATCTCTGTTGAACTCTTCCTCCATCATCTCGTCGTCATCTTCAAACTCCTTTCTATCTCTCAAGTCAGCTAGATACTGTCTCTGCTTCGTGACATCCTCCATCACGGAGTGGAAGTCTGATGGCACCAGGAAGGGGAAGTCATCCCCCTCTAGGTCAGGGGCGGAGTTGGTCCTCCTATAAAAGGTCAAAAGGTTCAAAATGTTTCATCATGTGAGGAACAGGGACCCGTTTTCATTAAACTTGTTATCTATAACAACTGCTAAGTTTCTACAACAAATTTGCTCTCATCCAATCAGATGCCTTGATTTCAGTAGCTTATAACAGTAGCTTGTAACTTGTTATTGATAACAAGTTTTGTGAAACAGGGCCCCAGATGATGGCTTAAAACTGTCCAATAAAAAGAGGAAGTAGTCATCCATCTCTCACTTTGGAGCAGAGTTGGTCCTTCTAAATGTCAGACAGAAGTTTGAGGTAATATGTTATGTACATGTATTACAATGATTGGAGGGCAAAAGTATCTAAATTGTTGCAAACAGAACAGCTTTGTTGCAATGGTTCGGTACCCATTCAAAATTAAGGGGGCAGCCATGATCGATATCTTTCCACTGATATTGATCTTACAACCATCTCTTCAACTACATCCACTGACTTATAAGTCAATTACGATGAGATTATCTTCACATCTTGTACAGTCAAACCTGCTTTAGTGACCACCTGTCTACAACAAGCACATGTTTTGTTTTCCTTGAAAAGGGTTTCTCATTGAAACATGTACTAAAGGAACCTGTCTACAAAGACCACTTTTGGTGTATCCCTTGGGCGGTCGCTGTAGACAGGTTTGACTGTATTTCATACCTGAGTTTGTGCTGCGGTGGTGGAATAATGTCGGTCAGCTTAGAACTTGCTCTGCTCTGGACAGAGAACTTGCTTTCACTGGCGACAGAGGGTACGCGGGGTCCACCGACCAACGGTTCCTGCCTCATCATCTGGGGTAGTCCATCGCTGTCTGGTGTCGCCATGGCAGGCAATGAACCTCCTGAGGATGGGCGCATGAAGGGTGGTGGTGCCCCATTCATTTTTCTTGTGTACTTGGCCCTGCCGAGCACAGTGAGGTCCTCACTTGATCTATAGTTGCGTCCAAGAATCCTGGGAATTTTAAGAAATCAGTACACAGAAGGAATAGTTTGTGACTGGGGTATATGTGGCACAATAGTTGAGTCATGCGACAAAAAGACTTCAATGAAATGCTCTCTTCAACCAGTGAACATGCTAGTTAATTTGCTGAATTGTTCCAATCAACAATTGCTCCAAAGTCAATATTTTACACTGACCAAATTCCTAATTTCAACCCTGGACCCATTACTATATACCCATTCCTATATAAGCCTACCTCAAAATGTTTAATACCTCACATTCAATCGCAACCCTAAATCTAAACCGTTATCTTTGACCGTGCAAACTAAACCCATAGGAAATGTAGGTGCACCACTTGGCAAATGGGAGGTAACATAAATTTTATAACTTCCCAACTTCCTAATTGCTGAAGATTATCACTGTTTAGAGAATGTATGAACCAAAATGTGTTGTTTTGACAAAGTGAAAGAATGGTAAAAAATGATACATCTTTTAAATAGTACACACACTGTCCACAAATTCATTTGCATCTTTCTGTGATGCACACAACTATACCTTAGTCCTTTGGCAAGACATTAATCTACATTTGCCCCACTCAACCCAGGTGAGGTGAATGGGTACCTGCATGGTAGGATTATTCCTTGAAATGCACTGTGCTAAAGCTAGGGTAATAATTTCCAAAGCTCTTTGGAGGTGCATAATGTTATATGCGCTATACAAGAACCGAATATTATTAGTGTTACCTTTCTTGCAGCAACCTCTCTTCATAATCTGCCTCATCCCAAGCAGACATGGCCTCCAGGTCACCTTCATCTCCTTCTGTGTCAGGGAGCGAGGTCAGCCTCTCGATGTCCTGGCTTAGTCCCAGACCTTCAAATTGAGGGTAGAGAACGTTCTTGATGTGGGTGGGTTCAAAGTTCATCTTGGGCGGGGCTGGAGTCCAGTAGAGGCGGGAGATGTCCTGCCTGATGGGCGCCGGCTGGCCCACGATGGTCAGGGCTTCTTCATCAAACTAGACATTAAAGATACAACAGATAAATTATCATCATCATCATCATCACTATTATTATTTTTAAGTATTAGGAATCAAGTGTGAACATAATCCCAGTTAGGCTATTTATTACTAACTGAAACCTCCAGTCTCTTCTGGTATAATCAATTGTACAAAAGAAGGTGTATATATATCAATTATGTCCCTCTTTTAAAGGGAAACAAGTAATTCTTTGAATTCAAAGCTTTTTAATGATCTACAAAATACAATAACAGAACACACAAGCGGCAGAACAAAATGAGTAATAATTAATGCATACTGTTTAAATCTAATGAAAGAAATGAATTCAGAATAGAATATCTCACCAGTTGCATAGCTCTTTTCTCCCATGTCTCCAAGCTGTTTCCATTTTCCATCCGGCTTTCTGCATCTTTGTCACTTCCTCCCGATTGTGACACGCCCATCTCCACTGTTACCATGGTTTCTGCCTCTCGGAGGATGCGCCTTGCTGCAGCTGACATCAGCTTTTGTCTCTCCTCCAGGGAAGGGGTGTTGGTTCCGCTGTCCATGTCCATGGCCTGCAAAAAACAAGAATGGCATATAGGAATAAACAAATAAACTATGTAGATGCATGTTTGTGTGTTTATCAATATTGAAAAGCATTTGATTTGTTGTTGGAAACATTTCTTGTTAATACAGTCAGTTCCCTTGAACACCAGTGCAAGCTAGTAACCATTTGTATAGAGTTTGAGGATCTGAAAAGAAACAATAAGATAAAAGAAAAAAAAGAAAAGATGATGCTGAGGAAAAAATAATTCAGCAAATAGGTGTGAAGAAAACAGCGCTGTTAAAAAGAGATTAAGAAACAGGTTAGACTCACCATCAGGGGTTGAGTAGCTTTGTACTTGCTAGGCGTATGGTGGGAGCGACTGAGTAGTTGAAGGTTACGAGTCAGTGTTATGTCTGAAGGAACGTTGCAGAAATGATGGATGCTCTCTCGCAGCTTACGATTTGTGGGCTCGGCACTTTCCTGTATATATAAGAACAAGACATTATTATTACTGTTAATGTCATGTCCTCATAATGCATGCAAGTCACTTCTTCTTGCTTCGATCTTTGCATCACTGAATCACTCAAAACAAATACATTTACATCTTTATGTCTCTCTTGTGTGTATCAAGTCTTCTTCGTAAAACAAATGATAATAACTTCTCTATGCTTCGATCTTGACCAGCAAGTATCTAATGTCTTTCTTTCTCTCAACATCTAACTAAATATTTAGCCTGCAAACATTTAAGTCACTCACAACGTAGCGTCTCTCCGCACAGAAGTTTTGTTTTGTCTCTATACATGTCATCAATGACCTTATGACTGTCGATACATCTTTCATTCTCTATAAATACAAAAATCACATATACCTTGTCCATTGTCTTTATGTCTCTTCACATAAATATCACTCACATCTTACTGCCTTTTGACCCAAGAGTCAGTTACATCTTTATGTCTTTCAACTCACAGGTCAATAGCACCTTTAAACCTCTCAACACCCAGATTACTTATATCTTTCAGCCTCTTTTTCAGAGGAGCCCACATGCGAAAGAAAGACACAGACGGTCCAATGACATTTTGTCAAGGAGTACTACTCCTCAGGCACCATTTAAAAGTGCAACATATCTCTCAAAATACAAGATTCTTACATCTTCATGTCTCTGAACGACTTATAACCTTCTGCCTCTCAACATACACACACACACAAGTCACTTACATCTATCTGCCTCCCAACACACACACACACACACACACACACACGGGTCACTTACGTCTTTCTGCCTCTCTTCCTGAGGTGCCCACATAGACAGGAAGGACACTGATGATCCAACGACAGGCTGTGAAGGAGTACCACCCCTCTTGGATGCATCAAAAACTCCCCTCTCCTGTATCTCCATCTTCTCTCCCTCAACATTGACAACATCAGCATGGGTGATGTCTAGAGGTGCGATCAGCTCCTACATGGGGGTAAAAAAGAGAAATAAATAGATCATAAAGTATGAGACTTAAAGCCCGTCTGTACTAGTTTGGCCAGAAAAGATTAGACCACCCAACGTGGTCACTAACAGGTGGCTATCTCATCAACTCAGCTCTCAATTAACATAAGAAAAAGAGGATCATGGGGGACCAACAGGCACCGCTAAGGCATTGTTTGCTATATAGAGGGCGAAAGTAGCTACAAGTAGTACAGTGGGGCTTCAACTGCATCAAATTTCAAGTTGCAGGTACAGAAAGGGTTCTGTTTATACCACAAATCCCTTCATACCACAAGACTTCATTTGGTATTAGTGAATTTCATTACAACGGAAATGTACAGAAATTGAAGAAAAAAAGAATAAAGACAGGACTAGAAAATATCTATTTTGGGGGATATTACCGGTACTTCACACTCTGAGCACTGCAGAAATAATTATCAAGAGAAAAAAATTGAAGTGTTCCAAATTTGAAAAACAATATGATCAGTCTACATTTCCTGATCACTTTGTCAAAGTATCTAGCTCTTAAAATTGTATGAACATCACCAGAACTTTATGATTTTATCTTTCACAGTTGTTCTCCTCGGACGATATCTTATATCACCAACCTGCCAAGCTTTCTCCAGGTCAATTTCCTGCTCCTCCTGCATCGAGTCATCAAGCACCACCTCCTGGAACCGCACCGAGGGTTTCTCTTCCAAAGCCACGCCTTCATCGGACTTCCCAACCTCCATCTGGACCTTATTTTCGCTCCCCTTGTCATCTGTGTTGTCGACGCTTGTCCTGCTGGTTCCTGGAATGCCCTATGTGGAACAGAGTGTCATCAAAGTTAGTTTGAAGGGTTTCATCAGGGTACATTGATCGGTCAAACATAACCACCATTGGTAGGTAAAATTGGAATGTACATCACTCTATATTCCAGAACAAAAATGCTGATTTCTAACAAGGTTGGAGATGCATAAAAACTAGCCATAGGTGCCCCGACACTGAATTCAAATGACCGGTTGGTTCATGTGCAGAAGATATTTCCTATGTTATAGCATTATGAGTACATCTGATATCTCCAAATAAATCATATTGTTGGTCAACCAGGGCATTATAGGCATTAGGTTAATACCTGAACAACCATCCTAAGCAAATATCCCTTGGGGTAGCTGATCGTAATGTGATTATACTAGTTTAATACCCTCATAGGGGTTGTTCCCTGGTGGGTGGTTTTACAAGGGAGTGTTTCACAAAGACTAAGATAAACTTTAAGTCAGACTTAACTTTGACAGGCCATTTATGCCACTGGTTGCTCTCACCATTGGTCTCTCAATTATGATCTTTAGATAACTTTTTTTCCTTCAATAATGAACTATCAAAAAAGGTAAATTCTGAAGATTTGTGACCACAATTTGTAAGTTCCTTTTGAGAAACTAATGCTAGGAAATGGTGAGAGAAAACAGTGGCATGAACAGTCTGCCTTAGTTAAGCTTAACTTAAAGTCAATCTTAGTCTTTGTGAAACACTCCCCTGGGGTGGTGATCAAGTGCTAGTCTAGTGGCAGTCATCCTAATATCATGAATTGCTATGCACCAATCATTAACCTTGATGTATTCCCGTGTCTGTATTACCTGCAGCATATCTGAGTCCTGGGTTCTGTCTGTATCCAGCGAATCCTGAGCCACCTCGCTCGATTCTTCAACATTCAGTTCAGGCACACCTTGTGCTGAGAGACAAGAAAGAGAGGGATAAAAATTTAAAGAAATCTTCACTAGTTTAACCAGGGGGATTAGACCTCCCTTCAAAGTCACTGACAGGTGGTTATCTCATCAAATCAGCTCTCAATTAACATAAGAAAAAGGCAACTTTGGGGACCATGCAACAGGCATCGAATAGGCATTGTTTGCTATATAGAGAGCGCAAGTAGCTAGTGCAGTGAGGCTTTAAAGGCATGCAAGTCCAAGTTAATTTGGTCATTTGGTGTCCCATTCCTTACCAAGAATTGTGGAGTTCTGAACATAGATTGACATCAAATGTTCTGTTTTTACTCCATATTTGGTGTGATGTAAGCTGTAGTATACAATGACCATATATACATCTGAGACATGGTCAGTAATGTTTTGGACAAAATAGCTTGGACTTGACATTTCACTGTATAAATTTCAGGGCTTAGTAAGATTTTGCCTTTCTTTTCAGGGCAAGTTAAAGGCTGGATCTTTAATCTTGTTACATTATGCAACAAATTCACCACATACATCCAAGCTGTGTACGTAAAACTACAGACGTGAGAAATTATGCATCAAAATTAATAATTTGCAAAATGAAACGTTACAAAACCCTCAAAACATCAAAATGTATGAACATTGTATATTCAAGGTCAACCATATACATGTTCATGATGGAGCTGTTTATTCAGTAAAAGCACCAAACAACTTAAATAGGATAAATCAGTATTCCACACATACATGTAATTGTCCAAATGCAGGTACAGGTACTTTCCCTTACCCTGATCTGGTCCTGTAACTTCTTCTTCTTCTTGATCTTCTTCCACCAAGTCTGGTTTCCTATCTTCTGTCACTCCATCATTCTTGGAGCCCAGGACCTCGGCCGTTCTGGACATCACCCTGTTCATGATCTCCTGGATCTTGATGTCCGCTTCGGACTTGACCGATCTGAGGAACATGCAAGGCCAGGAGGAAGGAAAGTGAGTGTACAGGACAAGTTTTGGGAACATTCAGAAACCTGGGCCTGGGCCCTGTCTTACAAAGATTTGCGATTGATCAAAATCAATCGCAATTCCTCCAATCAATCGCAAGTTTGCTGTCTCCTATCTCTTATGTAAATAGTTGCGATAGATAACAACTCTTTGTAAGATGGGGCCCAGGGTATTGTTTCATGTTTCATGGTGTCATCATAAGAACAAGTTCACCAATATCCCATTGAAATATGTGATAAATTAAATTCACACATTTCAATGAGTTGTCAGCGAACTTGTACTTAAATAAAACAAAACAACATCCCCCGCCCCATTTAAATAAAAATCAATTCCAAATTCAACTCTAGTCACACCTTGGAGAGGCTTGACCCAATTTTGGGTTCTAACTGCAATTAACCTACCCCTGTTCTCTCTGAGCCTTGAGTGATGATATGATGTCATCCACTGATCTCTCTTTAGGTGGTTCCTCCTCTTTCTCTACCTGAATAGTGGGAGCTATGCTGCCTTGGCTCTTGGTAGATTTGCTCTGCCGTCTTCTCCTGTTTTTAATAGGAACAGAGATTACTTCATCAAAAATTCGGATTGAAATCAAGGATGATTCAATTTAATCTCTGGTTTGATAGCAACGTTAAGACATTTGCTACTTACACAAGAGAGAACGAGAGAGAGATAGACACACAGACAGACAGAAAGACAGACGGAAAGAGGGAGAGACAGATGGTGAGAGAGGGAGATACAAAGAAAGAGAGAAAGATTCGACTGAACAAAACTAAATTATACGCAACACAGAACAAAAAAATACCAGTCTCCAGAGAGAGAGAGAGAGTCAAACACTTACTTTTGCCCAGACACATTGTCCATACTGGCAATCTCCTGTGCCTCCTGCAGGAGCTCACTGGAAGACTTCTGCGACCCCTGGGACTCTGCAGACGTCGCCCTGGTCGTCCCCGTCTGACGGGACGTTCCAGTCTGACGTGACAGTCCGGTGTGTCGCGAAGTACCCTCCACAGAGCTGTCATCGCTGCTGTACTGGCTCTCGTCATCGGAGTCCCTCTGGTGGGAGGAACGGACCGAGTGGAAGGACACCATGCTGGCCTTACCGCTGGCTGCTTGGTACGGGGTCCGACCGCTCTTCTCGCTCTTGAAAGACCGGCTGGACTTGGCTGATTTGGAAATGGATAAGGCATCTTTGTCTGGTAGATATAAGGAAACGGATGATACAAAGACACAGGGCTAATCAACACTGGAAAGTCATTCTAAGGAATTGGTGAAAATATCAGTACATCAACCATTCAGCTCAAAGCCAGTGTCTTAAATTCCAAAGCACTTAAATACAAAGCATAAAGACACATTGTGTCATAATATGTTACGCCCAATAAATAATTAGTGTTGGTATAATCAATATATCCAATCTCTAATGGAGTTTCTACTCGTTTCCAAGCAACAGTTGGTCATACAAATTACTTCGTGTCACTGACCCCTCGACATATGTCTTACCCTTAGCTCTGCGTTTCTTTGGTGGCGCAGGACTGGGTGGGTTTTCAACTCGAGGCTTTGGGGTAGGTTTGACTCTCTCCTTGTACGGCACGGGTGCAATGGCCCCTGTAGAGCTCAGGATGGCTGGTTTCTTGGGCGGAGTCTTTGGTTTGAGGGGCAGGTCACGGGCAAGGAACTGGGAGTCGGTGTCAGGTACCTTCCCATGTGCACTCAAGCTGGACTGGGCACGGGACGCAGATAGTGACACTGCGTTCTCCTATATGAAGGTATAAGGAATATGAATGTATAAGGAATATGTATGTATAAGGAATATGTATGTATAAGGAATATAAATGTATAAGGAATACGAATGTATAAGGAATACGAATGTATAAGGAATATGTATGTTTAAGGAATATTAATAGGGAATATTGAAATATATTTCAAATTTTGACCAGACTTCTTTTTAATAATAAACGAATGAGTGATCTGGATATGTTGAGAAAAGAATTAAAGGAAACCATTTTTATGCCTCCGTTACGAAGTAGCCGGAGGCATTATGTTTTCGGGTTGTCCGTCCGTACGTCTGTACGTCTGTACGTACGTCTGTACGTACGTACGTCCCGTTCTTGTGATCGCGTTATCTGAAGAACCGATCGATGGATTCCTGCCAAACTTTGGTCATGTATGTATCTTGCAGAGCCGATGAACTGATTAGAATTTGGGGTCACAAGGTCAAAGGTCACAGGGCTCATTAGGTATGCAAAAACAGCTTGTGATCGCGTTATCTGAAGAACCGATTGATGGATTCCTGCCAAACTTTGGTCATGTATGTATCTTGCAGAGCCAATGAACTGATTAGATTTTGGGGTCATGAGGTTAAAGGTCAAAGGTCACAGGGCTCATTATGTATGTATAAACAGCTTGTGATCGCGTTATCTCAAGAACCGATTGATGGATTGCTGCCAAACTTAGGTCATGTATGTTACTTGCAGAGCCGATGAACTAATTAGATTTAGTGGTCATGAGGTCAAAGGTCAAAGGCCACAGCACACATTATGTATGCAATAACAGCTTGTGATCGCGTTATCTCAAGAACCGATTGATGGATTCCTGCAAAAATTAGGTCATGTATGTTACTTGCAGAGCCAATGAACTGAGTAGATTCTTGGTTCATAAGGTCAAAGGTCAAAGATCATGGGCTCATTATGTATGCAAAAATAGCTTGTGAACGCATTCTCATGAGAACTGACAGATGGATTACTATTTAACTAAGACATCATGCAGAGCCAATGAACTGAGTAGATTTTAGGGTCATGAGGTCAAAGATCAAAGGGTCATATATGTATATGAGAAATTGCTTGTAATCACGATATTCTGAGAACCTGTCAATGGATTACAATTGAACTTGAATCCGAAAAATTTCTTCTGTTTTGGTTTGTAAAATTGCTCTATGACGGAGGCATCATTTTCGACTGCGCGCAGTCGAATTCCATCTAGTTTTTCTAAAGCCCCAATTGTTCACATACATGAAAATGTTAACTGTGTGGCATTATCGTGAAATAGGAAACCATCATTCGCTCCGCACAGGAGGGTTTTGATGTGTCACAAACATTGGTCTCCTTTTCCCACTCCATATACATTACACACAAGTGTGTGCATGCAAATGGGCAAGTAGTTTCCATACCTGGCAACATTTGAAGCTTGCACTAACACTAGAACCCAAATAATGCTAGTGTCGAATAAACTTTGACGCTGAAATGATGACCTAGACGATAGAAACATTACCTCCTGTATAGCAGCAATTTCCGTGTCCTGTACAGAGAGTACTGGTTTGCCTTGCATCATGATATTCATTGTAGCCACATCTCCTGTATTCCTTACAGGTAACACTCCTACAGTCTGGATGTGAGGTTTCCTCATCTCTGCAAAAAGACATTGAGAAAAGTGAGAGATTCAAGCATTGCAAGACTAAAAGGCAGAAGGCTACAACAGGAAGAAATGTTTAAATACTACCTGAAATAATAATGTTGCATTAGGGCACAGGCAATCCACCTAATCTTTACTCCAAACATTGACCTCTCAAAAAACACACCTCCTGTATTAATTCTTTGTCCTGTTTTCTACTCAGGGCTCATGGGATTTGTTAAAAATAAGTTTTATAAAGGAAGTTAGTCTGACTTCAAAGTGTTCTTGCTTTTACACAAGATCTTAGATATTTTCTTTCACATTATTTGTGATACTATATAACCCTCATGTACAAGTCTTCTGGAAATTTGATTCAGAGTTTTGAAAAGAGGGTATTTCCTAAAATTTTGATAATGCAATTGCAGCTCCTAGGTTCCCTTTCTGCTGCGAAGGCAAGACAAAAAAATGAAAGAAAAAGCCTACCTCCCACAGTGACCGTCTCTTCTTTGCTGTATGGGTAACGTTTGGTCTGACTCTTTGTTGGTGGGACCGTGCTCTTGTTCAGGGGATTGTAATTTGGTACGGTGCCTGGATCCTGGATGGAAAGATATGTTTAAAAGATGGTTTATGAACAAAACAGAAAAGTCTTAAGGCTGGTTCTTTCTGGGTTTTTTTCTGCTTTCATACAAATTAACTCATTACAAAGGTTGGATTGCCTTTTAAGGTAGGAGGCCAGAAACCGAGTACAATAAACAATGAGAGAAAGAGTCGTCAGCCCTGGGCATAGTAAAGAATACGTAAATCTCCCCATTAGCTCTAAAGCAAAATAAACATTTTTACAGTTCAGCATTCGCCACATTTACTTGCATTTCAAAGTGCTTGATGAATTGCATAAATCACTGAATAACAAACAAAAGAAAACGATCCAAAATCAAATTTTCAAAAATGAGAATGAAACCCCTAAACTAAAGCATTAGGTGATATTCTAAAATATAACATTGTAAGCTTGTTAAGAAAAAAAATCTTTAAATAACTCGTATTTGATTACTTAGTAAGATAAACAATCCCTCTAAAGTCTGCATCTTCCCTCTTAGATATCCTTCCATGCTGTACAGTAAGAGTCACATAACTAGTGTAATATTTGTGATACACCCTCAAACTGTACACTAGCTCAAACGTATGTGAAGGAAGGACACTCACCCATGGAATGCATTACACTGGATTCCTCATGATAGACCCTTTTTGGTACTGTATTCAAATGAACAAATTCTTCTTCTCCCCTAACCTTTATTGGTCCAGCTGTTTCACAGAATAGACTTGTTTACTAATGTATTTCAATTAATGCATATTTCTCTCCTCTTCCTTATTTGATTTAATTAATATTATTTAATTCACCTGCTACACACGAAAGTACCTTCGTGAATGGAATCCACCTCACATTCATTAGTTGATGCTATGTCTGACAAGCTTTTGAACCATTGGGAGAAACTTTTGTTTAAGAAGTATGCACCATTAGTAAACAGGTCCAGTGAGCACTTCCTGTTGTTAACCAATATTCAGTACGCGTAAGTTGTTGCCTGGCCGGACAAATCTCTCATTTTTTTTTTCCCAAAAAAGTAGCATTGACATAGGTGCTAATAGAAAGCACCTGTGTGAGATTCTTGGATAAGAAGATGACCATCATTTGCATTGTGGCTTCGGTTGTAGAATCCAACAAACCATTCTGTATAGGTCAATGGATATATATGTACTCGACAAGAAAAGTACAATAATATTTGCAGAGATAGTCCTCCTGCATGGGCATTGTTTCACAAATCCATCAAAAGTACAAGTTCATTGACATCCTATAGAAGCTAGTGTTAGATTAAATCTATGCATTTCAATGGATTGTAGCCAAACTTGTACTTAACTTTTGTTGTGAACCCTTGCCCATGTTTTTGTTACTGTTGTTGTTGTTTACCTGTTTGTTTCAATTTTGGGAGTGGTTCCTTCTCCTACATTAGACTCATGATACTTACTTGTTTTTGTGGTTGCATAGGCTTAGATAGGAATTCTTCCTCAAAATGAGGTTCAGACTTTCTGGTGTAAGGCATTCCTTTCTTTCCAAAATCATCACCAAGCTCACTGCAATCAAGAAACGGATAAAATTAAATAAATCCTCACCAAGATTGATGATTCAAAAGATTCACAGACATTGGTAAATTCTTTTTTTTTTATATCTAGTTTCTTCAAAAATAGACAAGTAATGAATTTTGCATGGCATTAATGGCAAGTAATTTGATTTTAATTGTTTTAAACTGCATTAAGGCATTATTTCTCCATGAATAAATTATCCATATAAAATACAATGCGGCCATCGTGCAAGCTATGTATGTTACATAAAATAATAAACTGCTTGACGCTTGCTGCAAAATTATGTAAGATGACAATATGAACTAATGACATAAAACATTTGGGTACATTTACAATAATTGTTGCCTTTAAAAACTTTTTTTTAAACTTTAAACAAATCAGCAGTTAAATATTGATTCTCAGACTAATACACACACTAATGAGAAATATGTTGGATTTCATATGATAGTTGACCAAGATTAATATATGATTTGGATTGAGAAGATACATACACATTTTGAACTTTCGCTCTGCAGCCACCGGAATCAAGCAAAGAAGCAAGGGGAAAAGCAGGGGGTGAAATAGAACATATAGAAGCAAACATTAATTATTAGTTTGCAAAATATTCCATACGCACAAATATACATGTATACACTGTATGATGGAACTAACATTGTTAGTAGCTATGGTAATTAATTATGCATCGTTTGTATGACTAATGTTTTAGATCTGTGGTTTATGAGCAAACTAAAACTTGCAGGCTAATTAACTTCAAATAATTGCATTGTCAGACTAGGGGCACTTATTAAACTGGAACTTATTAAACTACAATTCACATATCATTTAGACAGGTACATGCATATGGAGTTATCTAAAAATTTGCTTAAATCCAGGTTCCATGTGAAAAATAAACAAAGAGCAACTGGTTATGAATTGTCATTGGTTCAAAATCTGGACATGAATATGTATAAATTACATGATTCTTATTCATGTGATTAATAACAAAATATTTGCATGTATAATTACAACCCAACTTTAATTCTGGTGATGGAACTGCATTTCATATGTACCGATATACTGATACAAATAACAAAAACATGCTGGAAATTACATTTGATGAACCATGCACATGATCTTTGCACTCAACCAGTTTTCACAAAAACTAACTTGATTTCCTTCAAATTCTGCAATTGTTGTTAATTAGTCAGCTATTATTCATTTTCAATCAAAATTGTTAGGCAGGTATTATTCATATGCAATAAATGAAATAAGGGATTACTGGTACTACAGTTTAATTATGAAAAGTTCTTTATTGTTTTTACCAGAACCTTGGTTTGTATATTTTGGATTAGTGCACATACAGAATTTTACTTTCACTTGATTTATCATACCCAATGAATGTTTCCTTTTCTTTTCGCTTTCTGTCCTTGGTCTCAACGTCACTGCGTAGGTCCGTCATACCATGCTGAGACTTCTTCTTGATATCCTCGATCTCTCGTTTGATCTTCAGCATTTCTGCCCGGGTGGGGCCACTCCGAAAAGTGCCCCTGTCCTCCATGATGATCTGAACACAAATGGATAACATGAGAACACAAACAAGTGTTTTACACATGTAAATGAAAAAACCTTGATACATGTGATGTAGGATTGAGATTAGAATATATTCCGTCTTTGATAAATATGAAGAGATCATAGAGATGAAAGAAGCTGGATTACAAAATGATGCCTTCCAACAGGCAAACCATGGCAGACCTTATAGGAAGAGTCCATCACTACTCCGTACTATAAAAGCAAACTCTGCAGGTAGATCTTGCAAGGTTCTTCGTCTCGGAAGTTTGTGTGCGGGAACCATGGGAATGGTTGATTTACTGATTACAAATAGGTCTACAATTTGGCGTTGCGTTTATAATTACACTAGACTAGTAAGACTACTAATACTATCCACTCTGCATGTAAATGGGTACCAATTAAGGCTCAGTGATATCAATCTCATATTTCATATTAGCACCCAGCCGGAACGGTACGAACCCTCACTTCTAAATCCGAGTTATAACTACGCAATTGGCGCAACACGTAGCCTACTGCACTGCACGCTGCACAGCCAAATTATTCGTGCACCAACGTAAGAGCGCAATGCTTCACTTACACAGCCAGAGTTACGGCTGAGAACACAAGCAGCGTACCGTTCGTCTTTAGCAGCTCGTAGTGTCGCCGTAGGCTCAAACAAAGATTATTCTAAACGGATAACAAACCGAATTATCTACGCTTTACCTTGCATATTACATTATATACTTTTTATATGTCGATTAGCAACTTACAGCTCTTAATTTCCGTGGTTTGGTAGAATATTGAAGTCATTTATCTGAAATTATATTTATTCACCACCTCGATCCTGCCAACATTGTTGATACCGTAGTCTAGTTACCATCAATGAATTGAAATAGAACTGTTTTCATTGGCTGATTTATACACATTTCCAAGTCTTGACCAATCGCATAGCGCCTCTCATTTAGCTCCTGAGATCGGAATTAGTAAAATACTAGTACTGTATTCGACGCATGACACACACGGAATACATCCAGGCAAGCTACAGTAGATTTACAGGGAACTTTTAAAAAAAAATGTTTTAGTATCATTAAAATGCATTTGTTTGTTTTATTCGTACCTCTTTCTGAGTTCTGGCGCTCTCGGGGGAGGGCATCCGATGTGGAAGAGATGAATTAGGTGGGGGGGGGGGGGGGGGGGGGGGGGGGGCGGCGGAGGCCCGTACTGCTCTCCACTAGTTCAGAATATTCAAAAACGCTCTACTGTTTTTTACTTTTCAAAATGAATCATGAGACCATTTGACAGTTATATTAGGAAGACAGAGAGAGAACTAGATAAGACCTAATTAGAATAGAGAGGGTCATGAATTACGGACGTCTGAACAGGGATATTTTCAAATAATGTGTTCACCCTTTACTCTCTAAAAAAATCGAGTGATCACGGACGTCACTCCTCTGGAGAGTGAAAATGAGTAGTGAAAATAGAGTGAACATTCACTCTTTTCTTCTTAGAGAGCACTCTAAAATCAATCGATTTTCACTCCCAAACAAGTGATCACGGACGTCACTCCCAAGAAAGTGAAAATAGAGTGAAAATTCACTCTTTTTTTTAAAGAGAGTAGTTTAAAGATGCACTAGCTGCTGTTCCGTTTTCACACTACCCTTTGTTGTTAGCTCCAACCCCCCCCCCCCCCCCCCGCCATGTAGGTAAATGATGAGACTTTTGCAACTTTGCATTTTCAATCAAAAGTTAATCATTATTTGTTTGTAAGTGGCATTTTGGCTATCAGCTTAATCACAGTTTTGCTAGCCATAATAACACCCCTTTTAATTTTTTTGAAATAAGGGCCTACTATAATTATGACGTTGACCATGGGCGAGGGAGAAGAAGGAAGAAGAGGGTGAGATCTTGGAGGGTAATGGTTCTAGAAATACAGACAGAAATAAACCCTGAGTATCAGACACAATGTCTCATGAGTAATGATATCTGCAACATCTCAGATCAAACAGGTGTGACGTCACTTTGACATGAATCAATTACGCACTCCCAAAGCGAGGCAAAACGTTTAGCATTGTCACTCGGATTCAAAATTAAGTGATTGCTTGTGGCAACTATGAAACAATAAACAGTAGTCTAGCTATATATTCCTTGAGGAAGAAGGGAAAAATACAGTTCTTGTTTAATACTATTCAACTAGAATATACCAATCTATAACATCAATCGTTCTGCAACGTTTTAACGTTGTACTGGCATAGTCAAAGACAAATTTCAAAGGGTATTTGAATCATTGGTTTTCTCGGAGGATTCCAAAAATATTCTTTCAAGAAAGGACATTTTTGTATGATCCTTGGCACATACACACTGTTTAAATGTGGAATTTTCTCTAATGATACAACTAATATTGCTGCTATAGACAAACTTACCATCAGAAGTAAGTGATTTGATAATTCAAAAAGGGTTGCAACAATAACATAATTATCCTTACAATACTCGTAATTATACCTATGAGTGTACGTGAATCCGATGAGAATGGACAATGTCTGTTAACATCTGGGCGTCTCCAAAGCCTGCCCACTGATGGATCCACAATCCGGTTTACATGCACAATATCCGCCATTGGACACCGACAAAGGTGTTAAAATTAGGCGCCTGTTATTTCTCCTAATTTGGGTTGATGCTAAGCTTTGAAAGATGACTTGTTAGATATATGTGTTGGTGTCATGACAGAATCAGTTAACTTCAGACAATGTAGATGAAAACTTAATGCTAATGTAGGCCTAGTTAGTGTATAACAAAGAAACTTATTGAATTGTTATATATGTACCTTCCCCTACCTTCGTCTCTCATTCCATTCTAAAAACTGCTATGCGGCAAGCGTTATCCACTGTAAACAAAATATCAAATATTTCAAACACTGTTATGCGGCTATATCCACTGTAACAAAATATCAAATATTTTGATGTGAAGTTAGCTAGGTTCGCCATTAATTTATCTATTATTAGATTATTATTAGTCCAAGATGAGAGATAAGAATGATTTTAATTTAAAAACTGTTATAAGATCACTATTATAATACCTTTCAAGTAGGTATATGTTTTGATTATTTAAGTGTTCGTGATTTAATGTCAGTTGCAACAATGGTTTTAAAAGGGAAACTAACGTTTTCCTTTGTTGTTAACGTGCAAGATATTACTTCCAAAAGATTAATATGGAAAGTATGACGAGCGCGGTTTTATGAGGGCAATGAGGACGATTTTATTTTAAAACTTCTTTCTCTCCATTTTGTTATTGGAAAGAGAAAAGAAATGTTACTGAATCATAAGAGTGCGATGACCCACTAATTAATGTCCTTCAATGATGATATCATGGTTGGGTTGTAAGAAACAGACACAAAACCAAGACAAAGTCCATTGACAGGGAAGTCACTTATACATGTCATGTGATCCTCTGTCATGTCCGTGTCAAAGTCTAGATTTGTGAGCTTCTGTTGGTTCATTTGGGGATCATTCCGCCTCTATTTTATTATTGTTTCTGTTAATAACTCAAACAAAGTACATAGTTTGGAAATGTAGATTTTTAACGAATTGTCAAATAAGTAAGGAATGTTAAATTGTCTCTTATGCCCTAATATGACGCAAAATATGTCATAGTATGATACAAAATAATGTTAATAAATTTCCCTTGTTCTTCACTCTAATTTAATGTAAATAAATTGTTTGATTTTCTCTCCTTTCGTTGGATTATTTCCATTGTATTTTTATCCCGTTTTCGTGTTTATATGTAAATGTGTAATGTTGTGTATCATTTTCCGTCTTTTACTGTCCTGTGTATATACAGGCAGTAGCCTAGGCTTGAATGTACTTTTTAAACATGCTATCTCTTGTTATTTTCAATAAATAAAGCGTGTGATTTAAACATTATATTTATAAGGAACAGGACTGTCTCTCAAAGAAGGCGTGATAATTATATCTCCAAGGCCCCGTTGCTCAAAACTTACCATCAATGGTAATTTCCATGGAAACTTTGATTTGACTAGCTGTTGAAGAACAACCCCAGGGGTGTTTCACAAAGATCCTAAGTTGAACTTATCTCTAAGTTGGACTAAACAATTATGGAAAGCCGTTAGCATCTTTGAAAATATATTGTAAAAGTTATTTTAAAAGGCATTAAATGTTAATTCAGATCATTCATATTTTCTATTATCAAGGATATTTTATGTTCTTGGTGTGGAATTTATGAAAAGTCTAAAATACTTAAATTTTTGCTATTGAATATATTTCATTTCAAGGCTACAAATGGCTCTCCTTAATTTTTAAGTCCAACTTAGAGTTAAGTTCAACTTAGGATCTTTGTGAAACACCCCCCCCCCCCCATTAGAACTAGATAATCGCATCCTCAAAAGTGTACAAGGTCTTCACGAAACTGGGATTGCAAATAATTATCAGGACAGGAAAAGGTAATCAAGATATGTTACCGATTCCCGTATCTGGAGTTTGTCTAAGATAATCAAATAGTTGTTCTAGATATCACACAGCTATGCGTAGTCAATAACCTCTAATGGATATTGTCTGTCTTACTCACTGAGTAGAGAGAATCAAAATCCTTTTATATTATAAAAAAGCAAGAAAAATGCATTTGATGTTCACATTTCTTCGACACTATATTTGAAATCTTTGAAGTTTTATAATTTTTCAAAAGTTTGAACACATTTTTAGATTCATGTACTGGTTCCCGAGAGTAGTCTTGGTTCGATTGATAGATTGATTGATTTTTATTCGCCAAGCTTCCAACATACAACAATATACACGAATAACAAAGTTAAGTCAGCTTGAACAGGATAACTCACGAAAGCTCGAGCAGTGGCGGATCCAGGGGGGGGGGGGCCGGGGGGCCCGGGCCCCCCCCCCCCCTTGAGAAAAAAAATCATTTAAAATCACGTGATTTTTACCTTTTTTGGGGGTTGGGCCCCCCCCCTGGCGCTCAAGGGGGGGTGCAAATAGAATTTTTTTTGAGGATCAAAAAAAAAAAAAATGTGCTCACTACCCCCCCCCCCCCCCCCCCCCCCCCCCCCCCCCCCCCCCCCCCACTGAGCGAATTTTTGGCCGGCGCGTTTTTCAAATTTTCGGGAGCAAAAAAAAAAAAAAAAAAAAAAAAAAAAAAAATTGTGCTCTGTACCCCCCCCCCCCACTGAGCGACTTTTCGGGAGCAAAAAAAAAAAAAGTTGGGCCCCCTCCCCTAAGAAATCCTGGATCCGCGCCTGAGCTCGAGAGCTTATTTCCAGTGGGGTCCCCGACAGACACAATTAATAAGTTAAAATAGTAATATTTACGGACCGATAAGAAAAAGAAAACAATTATTAAATAATTAATTAAATAATTATAATAATAAAACCATTAAAATGATGATAGAAATTATAATATTAAGTACAAGAAGAAAAGAAGAAGGACAAGAGGAAAAAGAGGAGGGGAGGAGGAAGAGGAAAATAATGATGAATATGTAGAATTTCTATAACGTACAAAAACATAAGTATATACAAAATGAAAACATACATGTATCGGTTAAAGCAAGCATGGAAAGTTCCTTCATATTAATGTTGATAGACTAATAATAATGATAATAATAATAATGATAAATAATAACAGCAATAATACTAATAATAGTAATAATGATGAAATAATATTAATGATAATAAAAATGATAATAATGAATAGTAATAATAAAATAGGGCTCACTGCATGTGTAATATACATACCATTGTCCCCTCATCCTTTCCCATTCCCTTTTTCTCTCTCTTTCTCTCTCTCTCTCTCCCTCTCGCCCCATCCTCCCCTAGGTCGTCATTGGTGTAAAATGTCCCTAATTGATGTGGTGATTGAAATATGGTTTCCGTGACATTTTTT